TTTAAGTTTGAAAAAGGTGCCTTTGTGTCAGTCATTATAGTAGAAAATGATGATACAGTAATGACTAATTCATTACCTCTGTATTCCTAGCACTGGAGGAGAGGGCATCACCTGTGTCAGGTCAGCATAAAAATGTGTCACTACTGAAGCCCCATAATTATGGCAAGGTGTGGGTAGGCAGGTATTGTTGGATTACCTCAGGGAGTTGTGACTAAGCCTTGGCAGTTGTTCCCACCCTGTGAGTTGCTGTTAGGAAGAACATCCAGCCATAAAACTTTGCTTCAACATGACTGATAGCAACAGGTCACCAGAGCTGTGGTGCCCATCCCCTGATCTCTGCTGCATTTTCTGGGTTGTTTGTGGGTTTGTAGTGGCAAGTGGAGGAGGGGGACATCCCATTCTAGTTTTGCCCAATAGCTGCCATAAAATAATAGAGGCTAACCAACACAAGCATGGAAAATGGCCACAAAAAATGATGATGATGAGAGTGTTCACTATTATATAAGATGTACATTTTGGTGGTCAGGAATGAAGTATGAAATACCTCTTGTATCATTTTATGAATAAAATAGTGAAAAAGAGGAAATCCTCCCAATTAGGTACAGGGCTTACACAAATTAGTCTGGTATTGGGAGGGTTTACTATATTCATGTATTCCTTTAAAACTTCAGGGTTTGTTTGTTTTGTAAATGCTGTTGTTCGTTATTCAGGGTTGTTCTGCAGTACATGAACTCCACTCCAATACTGTAATCAGAATCTAAACATTCAAAATTTTAGCTAAATGGTGCTTGTGTTCCCAATTATCAATATTCTGTTTTCCATGAGCAGTCATAGCCCTGTCATCAACATTTATCCCATTCTGAAATCGAAGTAGATGGCTCCTTGCATTTCCCATTTATGTCTGTGGGTTTCCTCTTTTCTGCCCATATAAATAGCACCCCACAGCCATCCAAATGATTGTGATGGAAGCAGTGGTGGTAAGAGGAAGCAGGATACACCTATCACCATGGAAGAGAATATTGAAATTCTACATAAATTAGATGAAGACAGGTCACTAAGTAACCTATGGGAATGTTATGGTGCTAGTAACATAACTTTACATAATATCATTAGTAAGAAGTAATGTGAAAGATGTTAATAATCTGTACTATACTGAGCGATTGACGTAGACATTGTGAAACAGTCCTGCTCAAAACTAGGTTACCTGACCTTGATTACCTTGTTTTGAGTTGTCTAAGTAACACCTCAGTGAGGCATACCTGTTTGTAGACCACTTTTGTCTGGAAGTATCACTGACAATAATCCTAAAATATCTGTATTACAGTACAGTATTTTAGGTTAGAGTGACTGTCTCTTTCAGAATTTGATTTTCATTAAAATACTCATATTAACAGCACTTTCCTGAATCTGGGTAATGGTTTTCTTTGAAGTTGGGGTAAATATTGTACAGGTAAATCCTTTTTATGTACAGTTTTCAGTGATAATCTCCATTGCACTTTCTTTAAGCTACTGTACTACAATTTCTATTACATACAATATTGTTGGTTTGGAATTAATTCTCTTATAATTATCTTTTTGCCACCAGAAGACATCCATGATGATATTTCATTACTTCCAAAGTCACTTTAACCAATTTTTGTTCTTCAGAATTTTCTTCGATTCTTCCCATAAGTTATTTCACAGATGAGGCGTTTTGTCTATAAAATTTTATTTTATTTCTTATTCCCATTCCTGTTTCTTTAATGTGAGTCTTTGTCCCTGAGATTTAAAGAGTTTTTATCTCAAGTTCACCATCACAACAATGAACCACTTCCATCAACACTCTGCTTGTATTTTACTTTAAATTTTAAACATTCAATTTGATTTTCTTATCCTCTATGTAATATCTACCTTTGGCCTCTTAATAACCCAAGCAAGCAAGTTAAAACACTGATATTGACCAACATAATTATGATTTGCAAATGTTCAAAGATTTCTTTAGATTTGTCTTCATTTTCTTCACAAAAAACTTCGTACAGTATATATCTCTGGCTGCCTCAGAGAAATGGATAACCAATTAATGTACAGGTGTCCCTCTCTTAATGAACAGGTTAGGTTCTTTGAAAACCATTCATTAAGTGAATTTTTGTATCTTGAAATACAGAACAAAGGAGAAAATAGGGTTCAGTTCCCCTACAACAAGAAAGCCCCAATATTATACCCCCAAAACATGAAATCAGTTCACAAACAACAAAAAACCTACCCAACAAATTAAAAAGAGAACCCAGTTACTGTAATTTAGTACCTAACACATTAAAAACATTAATAGAATACTATATACTGTAGATGAAAATATACAACTAAAACCATTAAGGAAACGCTAAATGAGAGTTTAACACAACCGCCATTTCCGTAAGATGCAGCCAAGTGGCCTCAAAGCTTACCATGACAACTCAACCCAGCTGAAATGCTCCCCATTCAGCATGCTAACTCTCACACACAAAGAAATATTTATTCCTTATGGTTTTGACTTTATGATTGTTATTTCTTTCACATTTTGCACATTATATATAAAGCATTGTGCGTGCATATAACCGAGTGGAAAAAAGTGAAGAAAGTTAAGTTTATCTACCCGAAATTACAAGGTGAATAATAATCATAACATAGCTCACACCTCAGCGTGGTAGCAAGAGTACTGTGAATTCAAACAATAAATTGAATGGCGTGAGCGATTACCTTAGGGAGGGCAGTCTTGGTTCAACACAACGAATGGGAAATGACAGAATGAAAGATACGGACTGGGGGTTGTTTTGATCATTGAGCGAGATTACATCTCCGCCCATGTCTCCAAGATGACTGCCCCAGCTGACAGCCCAGGGACACGTGAATTTTAATTTTTGCTGGGACCCACATTTTTATAAGTGGGAAAAGCTTTCTTTATATAAAAAATATGTGTTAAATTTCAGAAATTCACATAAACCAATTTTCCAATCTCAAACGTTCGTTAAGAGATGGATACCTGTATACAGTACATGACTGAGGCACCCTGTAGGAAAGAAACTGAACCAAAAGTGAACGTTCACAAATGGCTCCACGTTCAAGGTGCCATGAACCATCTTCATAGTGAGCCAACAATCACACATGAAAGAATAACATTAAGTGTTTTAGTCCATGTAATCTGTGACTCTAAAGGTCATCAAACACAGTTTTAATTCAATTCTTGCTTTAACTGGGAGTCAGTGTAGAAATAGAGTAGTAGGAGTTTTGGGTGGAGGTGAATGGATAAACCTAGTTACACTGTTCAGGACAGACAGGACCTTCTTCAATGGATAATTTGGCAGCCCAACTCACAATCAGATAAGGTTACAAATTCTGGACACAACCAATACTGTACATTTACAAGCATCTACAGGATGTCCATCCAAAAGCATAAAAAATATCCTGAGTGATATCTGCAAATCTTTACAGGCAAGTTAAGTCAAAATGAAAACCTAAATTTCTAACAAAGTCAAGGAGATGCAGCTGTGTACCTCCCAAACCCAGCCAACCAAATTCATCAACTCCTTGATGATGATAAATTGAGATTTACTGTCAAAAAGCTTTAGTTTTCTCCTTGTTCTACACATTTTTGTTGGACAAAAGAGATGTTGTCCTCTATATCGTTTGTTCATTATTAGCACATAAGTTGCATATCCTCGACACATAAGTGATACTCAATATTATGTGCCTTCAATAAAGAGACAATTATAAACAATACTGGACCCAGGACTGTTCACTATGGTACTCCAAACTGCAGATGGACAGGTTCAGGTGGTGATCCTCAAGCTACACTACACTGGAAATGATGTAATAGATAAAACTGAAGTAAAGATGCAGCAAACTCTTATATGACCAGATCATTGTATCAGGAGGAAGAGTGAGGACTTCCCACAGCAGATTTTAGTCACCAGATTATATAAATTTTAGATAAGGATGTTTCTGTCGAGTAAATCTTTCTACAGGATGTTATCTTATTCAGTACTGTCTCACAAGCAGGAAATTAAAAAAATAACCTTATATTTCTGTTTATTGTAAAATAGCATAAATAATTAAGTCCCAAAGACATGAAGAGTTATATAATACAGCAATGAGAAATAACTACATGCATATCCTGAGATGACTCACTAGGCTGAGGCAGGAGAGGTGAGGACCACTGTGCCAAGTTGAAGAGTTTATCACTCAGTTATCTATCATTTCCTCTTGTGATAGTCAGTGCTTACCAATACAAAATAAATCCCCAAGACTTTTTATGACTTCATCCAGATCATAAATTTATTGAATTATTCATTAGGAATTTATTGATTGTCTGATAATCCTGAAAAAGAACTAGAGGTACTTTCTAATGTGGATTGCCAATGCTGGCTATCATCTGCCTGGGTCATAATGATGCTGCCTCTAACTCAATTCTTATTTTACCATTACAAATTGATGACTCAGGAATATTAAGAGCTTTTTGGTTCTTTTATGCAATTCAGTGTACAAATGATACTCTATGAGTGCTATAATACTGTATGTAAAGAGTAAAAAAGAAGAAATGGACAGACTCAGTGGTTTCTAGACCCTAACCATTATTTTCTCAACACACAACCAGCTCAGGAATATAACACTGCATGAAACTGAGGATTTGTTGTACTGTATCTCAAAAGCTTTAAAGTATGAACAAATTAATTCAGTATAAGTATATCATCTGTTTTGGTTTTTCATTTTTAAAGCTTAAAATGAAGTACTGCACAGTACTGTACTGTAATTACTGTACATAGTACAGGGGGGCCCCAAGTTTGCGGATTTTTACTTCACAGTTCTCGGCTATTCGCGGATGACACCCTGGATGTACCCAAGAATGTCTGTGGGCTTTCATTTTTAAATCAAAGCACGGTGAAAAAGTGTACAGTACAGTACATATATATATTAATTTCCTATAACTGGAAGTAGTTAGCAGAAACAAAGAAAATTAATTTCTGGAAATCTGAAACTATACTCACATTGGCAAGGTATGGAGGAAAGTCAAACACTGAAGGTACAGCACCCTCTCGTAAGCGCACAATCTCATCTGTGTTGTCTAGGTCTGCCTCAGTAAAGTGGTCGCTACACAAGAAGCTCTGCCGATTTGGAATGAAATCTCTCTTCATTGCTTGCAGCCACTTTCTTAAAAGAGGAGGATCTGACACAGGAAACCTGATGGAAATATATTAAAATATTAAGTTGGTTAATCTAAAATAGAGAGAAAGAAAAAAAAAAGATATACGGTATTCTCAAAATAACTATTTTGCCTTTTATTGAGAGCTACTGAAAATGACAATACTGTACATATTCCTTCATTCAAATTAGATCTTATCCCTAAAATTACTTGTTTTAGCAACATGCCCAAAACTCCCAGCTGTAATGGCCCCTGTCTCATCAACAGAAGTATTATATACACCTAGACCCCGACTTACGACTACGTGGACTTACGACCGTCGGGACTTACGACCGTCGGGACTTACGACCGCCTCAGATATAGATAAAAAAAAAAATTTTTTTTAAATGACACACGCATTTTCTATACCGAAACGTTTCCAGTTAATGTAGTCTCCATGTATAATTAGAAAATTATGGGGGCCCCATGTGCATTCAGCTGACTACATTAAAGGTTAAGTGGTCAGTCACACTGTATCCATTCCTTATTATTTATTACTTTCACTGTACTGTATCCATTCATCATTATTCATTACTTTTACTGTACTGTATTTCATTGTAGATTTTTTATTAAAAGAAAATTTTTTTTTTTTATCTATGTCGGACTTACGACCATGTCGGACTTACGACCTGGATTTGGGTCCCTAACCCCGTCGTAAGTCGGGGTCTAGGTGTAAATGGGTTATTTACATCTGATTTATATTCAGATTAACCCCCTTAACTTTCCACTGGCTATGAGGTGATAAGGTGTGCCCACGGGAAGCTGCGTCATACTATGCTGAGTAAAGGCATAAGTAGCCGGCTCTCTGGCCACCTAAAGCGAGCAGTAGTTTGATATCCTTGACTAGAGGAAGACGTTATTTGAGAGCCGCTGTGGATGGCTCCGTCTTCCTTCGAGGGGGAACGACGTACCTATTCCGTTCTCCCTCGATGGGTCATTACTCAAAGTCACTCACACCAACTAATAACGAACGGACGTTGATTCACGTTTATATATTCATAAACGCTGTCCCTTTCTCATCACATTCATAAATAGTGGAACTTACGGTTGATCTACACTCAGGAATTATATAAACATAATACTTTTCTAATAAAACAAGAAACTTCAATTGGGTTTCATTACTAAAGCCCAATATAGTATATGTGAACCAACCTGGTTAATTGGGAATTAACCAACCGGTTCACAGCAAGAACCAGTCATATTCATTTTTATATTTTGACACTAAAATTTAAACTAATCCATTCAATCTATAGACAGTTATTGAGCAGACTTGTTGTGGTAGTAACACTCTTTCCCACCACCAACAGCACTCCCCCCCCCCACAACACACCATGAACAGTCACTATATGGCTGGCATACACACAACAACTGCATACACTGTGTCACCTTGGGAATCACTTAACTTCACACCAACACCAGGCTACCTCATTCTACACACCTCACTTGTGACCATATAACTCCCAGTGTAACGTTACTTCTCTTCACACCTCTACAGTATGCAAACCCTAAACACATTCCTCCATGAGGCATTTAACAACTAGGATGCTTCCTGCCACATAAAACAATCCAGTGAAGTACATGACCTCCTGCTAGGCTCTCATTCAACTTGGATGCCCCGCCATATGAGTTACCGTATGTCACTAAGGCCTGTGTGTGGTACTGTACATGAGGAAGAATGAAGCTGATCTAAGGTAAATTGGGTTATTTAACAGTAAGTGAATGCTTTAATACCTTGAAAAGCATTATTTTTTATATAAAACTTATTTGGGGGAGCTGTAAACTTATCTGATCTACATAAATATACATATTTTCCTTATGAATGAAACTTTGCCAACTTTAAAAATTTACAAGGACCACTGTAGACCCCCACTCTACTTTCAAAGGTGTGAAGAGGCAAATAACTTGCTTACCACTTACCTATGTATACTCCTTGCTGGTTTTTCAGGATATCTGGCATTCTGGTCTACCTTTTTCTCTTTTCTATTTTTACACCCAATTGCTGCACATGATGGCATCCTGGCAGCAAAAAGACTCTGAAATTCAATGCACTTATTACAAATTAAGCACCATTAACTGAAAAGTATTATTGTAATTTCACAATAGTGATTGCAAGAAATAGTGATCAACAATATGTCTGGGCAATGGAGAAAATATTTTTAAGAAATGGTTGTGAAAAAATGAGACTGGATCTGGGTATCTATGGTATACATGGTAACAGAAAGGAAGTGACAGTTTAAAAATAAGAAAAAATAGAGGGATCTCATGAATACAGTATATGCACCAAGGCTTGCATAGTAAACTTCTCAGCTATGTGTAACTGGAGGCAATCCATAGATCACTCAACTCCCTCTTAACAAACATTGCTTAATACTGTACTGTAAAAAGTTTGAAGGCTACAGTCTTGCCCTTAAGTCATGATAGGTAGGCAAGCTATAAAGCAACACAGCAAATTTTTTCCATTGCACAAATCGCACCTCATATGAGAAAGACGTAACTACATTTGCAGCAACATCCTCATACCTCCAGACTAACTCCAAGGATATCCCAAGGGAGTAAGAGGAATCAACATCACTCTTCACTAGCCTCAAAAGAACAGTAATACAGTAAACCCTCGATAATTCGGCATTTGATAACTAGGAATTTCATATAACTCGGCATGGATATGGTCTTGGAATGTATCAGTATAACTCGGGAAATGCAGATATATGTCAAATTATCTGGGAAAATCTCGTCATACCTGGCCATCTGCATCACCTACCATGCCTCTGTGTTACCTACCATGCCTTTGTGTTACCTACCATACCTCTGTGTCACCTACCATGGATCTGTGTCACATACTATGATACTTCATTCTTCACCTGCAGTGCTGGTAATTGTTACTCTTTTACATTTAGCAATTACTGTACATGTACTGTACACATATCCGGTCAGACTGTAGCAGCTACCACTGGATCTCGCCGCTGTCTACAGCTGGCAAGATTATCCCCCGAATCCTCCAAAACAGACTTCTTCCTGAGGAGGAAAACTTCCTCCCAAAATCTCAATGTGACTTTAGACCATCATGTGGCACCACTGACATGATCTTTGCTGCCCGCCAGATACAGGAAAAGTGCAGAGAACAAGAGTCGTGACCTATACATGGCTAACATCAACCTAACCAAGGTCTTTGACTCGGTCAACAGGGAAGTCCTCTGGTGGACCCTCAGCCATTTTGGCTGCCCACCAAAATTCATCGCCATTGTGAGGTAACTCCACAATGACATGAACAGCAGTGTCCCTGCACAATGGCACCCATTCTGAGCTCTTCCTCATCCAAACGGGGGTTAAACAAGTGTGCGTACTGGCACCAACTCTCTCTTCCATTTTCTTGGCTGTCTTCCTTAATCGTGCCAGCGCAAATTTAGCCGGCGGGATGTACATCCGGTACAGGATGAAGGATCTTTTCAACATAAGATGACTCCAGGTAGGAACATAGGTGTCAGCAGCCTCCATTACTGAACTTCAATTTGCAGACAACCTCACCCTTGTCGCTCACACTGTACGCGACCTACAGGAGATCCTGAACACCTAAACAGATGCGATGCACACTTCGGCCTTGGGGTGAATGTACGTAAGACTCAGATTCTCTTTCAGCTTGCCCCTGGTTCAGCCACACCTCGACCATCCATTCAGCTTAACGGTACTGCCCTTACTAATGTTACCCACTTTTGGTATCTCAACTCCCACCTGTCCACCACCGCGGACATCGATAAAGAGATTCAGCATCGGATCAGATGTGCATCTCAAGCCTTTGGTAGACTCCGAAACCGTGTCTTCAGCTGTAGGGAGCTGAAATCATCTACAAAGTTACACATATATCGAGCAGTGGTCCTCCCCAACCTGCTATATGGCAGTGAGACATGGGTTACATACAGGAGGCACCTCAAGGCACTTGAAAACATTGACTAATGTAGCCTACGCTCCATCCTCCAAGTTCGCTGGGAAGACAAGAGAACAAATGCCAGTATTCTTGCTGACACCAACTGTAGGATCATCGAGGCTACCATTATCCATGAACAACTACGCTGGACTGGCCATGTTACCTGCATGGACGACAGTAGACTGCCAAAGCAGCTACTTTACAGTCATCTAACAAATAGTAAATGAAATACTTAAGAGGAGGAGCACCATACAAGAAGGTGTCAATACTTTCAAGTTAGCCTGACTGCATAACGAGGCAAACAAGCGCCAACGACGGAAAGACGCTGTCACCGCCCCTCCCACACTTGATGTAGCCCCCCCACATGTGCAGCTTCTGTGATCGACCCTGCCGGTCCCATATCGGCCTCTTTAGTCACCTCAGAACTTACCAACCTAGGTGACATCCTTAATAACTCATATCATTATATCACAGCTGGATGATCATCATACTCGATTACGAGTGACAGCAAAGTTGTAGTAGTAAGTAAATGGTTCAAATTTTTTTTATTTATTTATTTATTTTTTGTGTAAGAGGGGGGAAGTGCCTCGATAAGTCGGAATTTGGGATAACTCGACAAGGCCAGAGCCCCATATGTGCCAAGTTATTGAGAGTTTACTGTATGTATGATTCATCAGTTGAGAAATGCGGAGGCTTCTAACTTGTCATATCTTTGCTAATGATAAGATACACACACCAAACTCAAACTTGCTTACCAACTCCTGTATAAAACATACAGTACTGTAATGTACATCAGAAGTAAAGTGGATTAATTTTATAGATGCAACAAAATATTAAGTAAATAAAAGAAAATAACAAACAACAATTATTTCTATGAAAACTATGTCAGGCTAAGGTAATATTTTACTAGATTTTAACCCAACAAAGTAAAAGTATTGACTTGTATTTCAAAGTACAGTACAGTACAACATCAACTATACAGTACTCTGTCAAATGCAGTGTACCGTATAGGTGAATTGCATTTGTAAATCACTGAAAAAATGTGCTTAAGCAAATGAGATCCCCTGAGCTACATCTGAGATTTACTTCCCACACATACTTATGACTAACTGTATCAATATTACCTAAATGTTTATTGCAAATTACAGTACTTGTGTCTGCAGCCTTTCCCTCATAAAACTTATGGAAAATAATATAAAGGCATCCCCTAAGTTACAGAATTCCCCCCTTATGGATTTTGAAATTTAGACCATAATTTTGGATTAGGGTAAAGTAAAATGTTAGTGTTTTGTTCATTTATTATCATGTTACATCATGAATGACTCATTGTAGGTGGTTAAAAACATATATATGCTCGTATCACATTTTTGGGCCGCAAACTAAGAGGGGTGTGGTTATCTATGCTAGGCAAGACCTTAGAGCCAGTCAGGTGAGGGCACAGGGAGAGGATGTTTTTTTTAAGAACCAAGTGGTTTAAAATTAAATTAAAGGGGAGAGACTTACTTATTGCCGGGCGTATCTACAGATCCCCAAACTGTAGCTTATTAAACCAAAGGAACTTAAGAGCCTTAATAAACAACGCAGCGATGCTCAACCTAGCCACCTCCTTATCATGGGGGACTTAAACTATGGCGACATCAACTGGAGAAATGAGTCCACGCTACTCTTTTTGTAAAAACTCTGAGATAATTTTCTGTTCCAACATGTTAAGGACCTGAAGCATTACAGAGGAGAGCAAACACCCAAGCCACTGGACATCATCAGGACAAACGAGGAGGGTATGGTGGCCAAGCTGGAACACCTAATACCCGTTGGCACCAGCCACCATGTAATGTTGTCCTTCAGATTTAACTGTTACTTGGTTCACGACAAAACCAGATCCAGGTGCAAATATTACAAAGGAAATTATGACGGGATGAGGGGTATCCACTGGCCTGACTCACTGAGGCATAAGAATGCAGACACTATTCTGAATATCATAGCCAGTTAAGTGAACCATTTGATCAAGAAATATATACCCAAGACAAAACCCAGTGTCTCCAGGAATATACAAGGAAACCGCTACATATGAACTATGCAGCGGTCGACAAAGTTAATAAGAAAACTCAGAAATTCAAGGCATGGGTGAGGTCAAACGATGAGCAGGAAAGTAGGATGTATGCAAGATCCAGGAACCAAGCAAAGTCAGAGTGTAGAAGGGCTGAAAAGGAGTTTCAGGGGCTGATTGCAAGTGAGGTCAAGTCAAACTCAAAGGCGTTTTACTACTATGCAAAGTCAAAATTAATAATGCGAGTAAGAATATTGGACCTGAGGCTTGAAGATGGTAGTTACGCAGATTCTGACCAGGACAAAGCGGAATCATTGAAGTTTCTTTTCCTCGCTGTTCACAAGAGAGGATGAGAACAATGTTCTTGCATTCGACATAGTGCTGGTAGAAAGGCAATAATAAATATTCGTCAAAGCTAAAGGTTCATAAGAGTCCCGGCCCTAACATGGTGCATCCCAGAGTGCTAAGGGTTGGGTAAAGAGCTTGCTGAGCCCTTGAAGATCTTGCTCTGTAAATGCCTGGATGAGCGAAAGGTCCCCAGTGATTGGAAAATGGTTTATGCGAGTCCTATTTTCAAGAAGGGTGATTGTCACTCCACAAATAGCTATAGACCAGTGATCCTGACCAGCATAATATGTAAAGCTCTTGAGAGCATTATAAGAAATGCCATGACGGAACATATACTACAAAACAACCTTGTAAAGGACTACCAACACGGTTTTATGTCGGGATGCTCCTGCTTAGCACAATTACTCAGGGTACTGGATGTTTGGACCCAAATTCAAAAACAGGGTGCTAATATCGACAATATATAACTAGATTTTGCCAAGGCTTTCGACAGTGTACCCCATGAAAGGCTGAAGATTAAACTAAAAGTGTATGGGATTCGGGAATGGACACACTGTTGCTTGTTTGCTTCATAAATGACAAGCCAGAAGCTGTACATTCCTCCATACAAATGTTTGTGGACAATGCCAAGCTATTTATGGAAATTAAGAACCAAGCACACTGTGAAGAGTTGCAGAAGGATCTCTGTGAGCTTCAAGAATGGTCGATGAAATGACCGCAAAGATTCAATGCCACGAAGTGTAAGAGGATGCACCCGGACAGGCGGACATACCAACGGTAGGGAGGCATATCATATGTCCCATTGGGACAAAGAAACTGAATTGAAAGTGAATGCAAAAAGGACCAAGGTGTGTATGTTGACAATGAACTGAAGTTCTTGGGCTATTGTAAGAAGGTGAACAAAGCAACTAAATTATTAGGTCATATAAGAAGGTCGTTCAGATATCTAGACGGTCCGTCCCTCATAATGGTCTTCAAGAGCAAGGTGCTTCCCCGCCTGGAGTACTGTCACCCCGTCTGGTCCCCAAGATATGCTAGGGACTGTCAGTTGATTGAAAATATCCAAAGGAAGGCCACCAGACTGGTGCCTGCACTTCGGCACCTCAACTACCCCGAGAGATTAGAGCACCTCCAACTGCCTAACTTATACTACTATAGACGAGCAAGAAAGACCTATCACTTATGTTACTTGTACATCATTTGTAAATCAAGAGACCCATTCCCCAATTATGTAATTGTATATTTTCAGCCTTCCGGCTGCCAAGCTTTCAATAAACCGTTTATTATTATTATTATTATTATTATTAATTGAGGTGCATAAAAATCTCAAAGGGCACTACTCAGTCAAGTGTCCTTACCTGGAGCTGGCGGATGCTAACCCCACAAGGGGTCACAGCTCAAGGTTGAAGAAGCCGCAAGTCCAGAAAACTGTGAAAGCAAACTTTTTCGGAGTGAGAATTGTGAACTTGTGGGACAACCTGCCAGAGTGTTCTAATGGCACCGAGTGTGAGCTCTTTGAAGAGCAGACTTAACCAGCACTGGAGCAGGTTTAGATACATTCAGGAGCCAGTGCATGCCCAGTACTTGCCAACAGTGTGTGACAGGAGACGTGAATGATCGCCCAAGCAGCTAACAAGCTGAACAGTGGTGAAGAGAAGAAAAAAAGAAAAGTATATGGGAAAAATGGCTTCGCGATGTGGAAAGAGTTTTCAGAATGGAACCCTTCCATAACCCAGGGGATGCCTGTACTGTATAAAGTGAGCAAATTATAGATTCTCCCTCATTTATATCGACTACTACAGAAGAACTTTAGTGATTTTTTACCTTCTGAATGTGGTCTGAAAAGTCAAATATTGTCGGCACTGCATTAAATCTTAGCTTAGTTAGCTTAGGGCGATATCTTGGGTCTCTCCCTTCAAAACAGTCAGGAGTGAAGTGTGCTGAGCATATCAAGGATGTTGGTGAAGGCTGCCAATTTGTTCTCTTAATGTTTTTCAGCCACTCCTTTAGCAGCTCAGGTCTATCAAAGGGAAACCTGTGTGGTGCAACAAGAAAAAAGAAAGTAAGATTTTGGTTCAACCAAATGTGTAGTATTGTTTTAACATCAGTAGTTACAGTTATGAAAGTATATTGGATCACCTGAAGAATTGTCATTGCAGAAGGGGCCGTGATGCAGATTCTTCAGGTGGACACTCTGGGGTGATGATGATTCTTCAGGTGGACACTCTGGGGTGATGATTCTTCAGGTGGACACTTTGGGATGATGATTCTTCAGGTGGACACTCTGGGGTGATGATTCTTCAGGTGGACACTGGGGTGATGATTCTTCAGGTGGACACTGGGGTGATGATTCTTCAGGTGGACACTCTGGGGTGATGATTCTTCAGGTGGACACTCTGGGGTGATGATACTTCAGGTGGACACTCTGGGGTGACAATACTTCAGGTGGACACTCTGGGGTGAAAGCGATACTTCAGGTGGACACTCTGGGGTGAAGCGATGCTTCCGGAGTGGACGCCTGGGGTGGCGTGCTTCGGGTGGACCTCTGGAGATGACCCGATACTTCAGGTGGACACTCTGGGGTGGCGATACTTCAGGTGGACACTCTGGGGTGACAATACTTCAGGTGGACACTCTGGGGTGGCGATACTTCCAGGTGTGGACACTCTGGGGTGACGTCACTTCAGGTGGACACTCTGGGGTGACGATACTTCAGGTGCTGGACACTCTGGGGTGACAATGCTTCAGGTGGACACTCTGGGGTGACAATACTTCCTTGGTGGACACTCTGGGGTGACAATACTTCAGGTGGACACTCTGGGGTGAGCAATACTTCAGGTGGACACTCTGGGGGTAGCAAATACTTCAGGTGGACACTCTGGGGGTGATACTTCAGGTGGACACTCTGGGGATGAAGCCAATCATCAGAGTGGACCTTCTAGAATGAAACGATACTTCAGGTGGACACTCTGGGGTGACCATCTTCAGGTATTAGACACTCTGGGGTGACAATGCTTCAGGTAAACCTCTAGAGATGACAAATACTTCAAATGGTTACTCTGGGGTGACAATACTTCAGGTGGACACTCTGGGGTTACAATACTTCAGGTGGATACTCTGGGGTGACAATACTTCAGGTGGATACTCTGGGGTGACAATACTTCAGGTGGACACTCTGGGGTTACAATACTTCAGGTGGATACTCTGGGGTGACAATACTTCAGGTGGATACTCTGGGGTGACAATACTTCAGGTGGACACTCTGGGGTGACAATACTTCAGGTGGATACTCTGGGGTGACGATACTTCAGGTGATCCAAAGCATGATTCATGGAGTGTGTACCTTCAGCATTTATGTTATCTTAATACGTGTTATTTTTATGATATACCATACAGTATAGATCTGACCTAACACAAGAGTATCCCATTATGCCATCAAATTGAGGAATTAATGCAAGTGTAAATGAAATTGAGAAATACTGTACAGTACTGTAAATAGTGTATATGAAGTGGATAAAATGAAATTGAGCTGCCGATTTAGTCTGAGCTTGTAATGGTATATATACAGTACGGTGTATATGTGATGTCTCACTGTTACGTCAGTTGGTCAAACAAATGCAGCTGGTAATTATTAAGTACGGTACATATCTCATGGAATTATCATGTAATTAATTACCTTTTATAGTAAGATACTGTTACACTTATGAAAAATATGAAAATACTGTAAACGTGTTGAGTAAATGTTGCTTGTGCCACAATGAATAAATTTCATCTTAACTATTACTGAATAAACCTACAAGAAAAACAAGAGATTCTAAACTTAGTATTAACATTTTGCCCAAATATAAAACACTGCCCTCATGTTCTATACTTTACACCGGAAACAGTAACACGGTATCACAACTAAACAAACAATTTGAGGAAATACTTCTTATTTCATGAAAAGCCGAAATGGTTTCACAACTAAGCCTTTGGTCAATGTTGCCAGTACTGCACTCAATGCCTGCACCTCCCAATTGTAAATTTAGGTAGCATTTTGATGTTCGGTGGGCCAGTTAAGCCTAACATGAAACACCATCCCTATAACAACCCCTGTATACCTAACGATAATTTCTGAGAACAGCACTACCACCAGAAGAAGTTGTTCGATTTTGTTTACTTTTTCACAGATGTTCTTATCATTATGGTAAGTATTTCAAAAGAGGCAACAACTTTTTATTTTAATTATAAGTATTTTTAGTTTTCTCTATTAACAATCATCAATCACCTGTAGAATGTACTGGGCAAGACATGAAGGATGATGAAAATTGCAGGGTAAAACAGGGTGAAAAAATGATCGTATGACACTAAAATGATGTCTTGACATGCTTTGTATGTGAAGAATATAATTATTTACTGGGTTAATATTGACGACTGACCCATGCATGGGTTATTTGTTTTACTGTTTATTTTCTTACTTTATTTTCATCATTGAGTTCCGATATCATAATCATTTCTTGTGCAAATGCTTCATTTTGTAGATAATTAGGTGCCCAGGCGCACACTACTTTGTTTTCCCAGCGGTACTTCGGTCTTGTTCTTTGCTGAGCTAGCTTCTCATTCCCAAGCCAGTTTCATTTTCAGCAAGGCATGTGAAGGTTGTTGCCGGTCTTGTGCTACAATTCTAGTGCTTATAAAGGAACTTGGCTTGAAAGTGCCAAGATTAAACCCAGTATTGTACTGTACAGTACTTTAATTTATAAACATCTTTCTAAGAAAATACTTTTCACAGCAATACTGTGAAATTGAACTGGCTCTGTGTGCAGAGTATGTTGTATATGACGTATTTCAAAACAATCCACTGCCCGGGCTTGATCAAAGCTGATGAAGGCGGCTGCTCTCACATCCACAAAAAAACGTAAAATTATACCATATCACAGTAAGTTCTTTCTGTTTAATATACCGTGGATCCGTAAGGAAGTTATGTAAGGTTAGGTAGGTTTGTTTGGTTAGGTTGGTAAGGTCTGTTTTTTGGTGTACCTCCAACTCGGTCCATTTTAAATAACCAACTCGACCCACACATTACTAACTCGGCCCACCTTGCACGCTTCAAACAAGTAGCTAACTAGAGGTTCAGGAATGAGCTTGAGATATGTTTTATATCTCTTTTGGTTCACTGAAATACGATGAGTGAATGAGTGAATACCAAGGGTTCAATCGATATGAAGGACAATTTTTATGAGTTTACATTAGTAGAACTTGAACAATGAACCATGATTCACATTCGTGATTCTCCAGGTGATTTCGAATTGGGTTTGAAATTATTGCTTCTAGCAATTTGCCCGCAAATGATGTTAAACTGATTGGACAGTAGTTAGAGGATAGTGATCTATCTCCCTTCTTGAAAACTGGTATCACATTCGTTATCTTCCAGAATTCTGGTACTACACCCGTTTGTAATGACATGTTGAACAAATTTGCAAAGGGCAGACTAAATTCTTCCTTACATTCCTTTAATACTCTGGCAAATATCGCATCAGGACCTGGTGACTTATTAGGATTTATCTTGTCTATTTGCTTACTAACATCATTACTAGTCACTACTATCTCGCTTAATCTATTTTCTTCACTATCCCTGTATATAGTTGGTGCCTCGGGTATGATGTTTAAATTTTGGGTGGTGAAATTTTTTGAAAAATACCTGTTCAGATGATTGTTCATTTCTCTGTCGTTACCAGTTAGCTCGCCGATATTGGTCCAATCTTGTCTCATGTTTTAGTTTGATACAATTGAAAGAATCCCTTGGGGTTTAACTTCGCCTCCCTTGCTACCTTCAGTTCATTATTCCTCTTTGATTTTCTTATCTAGGTCTTAACCCTACTGGCCAATACTTTACAATAATCTCGGAGGTAAACTTCACCACGATTTATTCTCAAACCTATAGCCTTCCTTTGGCCAGTAATATTCTTCAAATAATTATTTGTCCATTTGGGGTCATTGTTAGTTCACCCGAGTTTTCTGTTTGGTATACAGTATTCTGCCTTTGTACATTAAGTAACTCATTATTTAAATTCTCGTGGAACTCGTCAATCTCAGATCTCATGATCAGGTCATCCTCAACCGTCATATTTTGTGAGGGTGTCATTGTCAGGTCTCCAGGTAAAGTGATCTTAATTGTGAACTAAAAATAAAATAAAATTTTTATATACCTGTATATGAAAAAAAAGGATCACCTCTTCCACATATGTACATTAATATACAAATAAGATAGAATGAAAAGATAAATAATAACAAATCAATTTCCCCCCTTTATAATCTATGCTGCTTTTTATCATTGTACTTTTATCATTCATGCAAAAATGTGTCAACTTTTACTTTTTAGTCCAAGTTCGTTAACCTAAGTGGTCTGAGTTGGTTAACAGAGATGGTCCGAGTTGGATGTGGGCCGAGTTGGCAATGGGCCGAGTTGGACTGTAACCTGTTTTCATACCCACTAAGGTTAGGTTAGGTTTAATTTAGAAATAACCACTTTTTAACACATTTGCACAAATTACAAGTGTCCACTATAAAAAAACAGTGAAATTGTGGTATTTTTTAAATCGTTTTCTATGAAAAGTCTGCCGCGGGTCAGTCGTCAATAATTACCATTTACCATAAACACACCTCCAAAAATCCTGCTGAATCACCGCATTTCATCTATTTGTTTACAACCAACCCTCTCACTCTGAGCATAATTTCACGTCCACAAAAAACATAAAATTACACTATAAAGCTTCAACAAAGTTACTTTTATTGGTACCAGATATCAATATAGCGGTAAATGTGTAGAAGAGGGTGACCACCAGAAGGAATTGTCCGAATTAGTTGAAATTTTTTCTACACACTAATTGTTAAACACAAAAATGGAAACGATAATGCACAGAACCTTATAGAACCTGACAATCTTTTAATTTACTCTATCCCGCTTCACAATTCTCCTCCCGGCACCATTTTTGTTGTTTTCCTCGCCGAATCCCTGTTCAAGAGATATTTCCTGAATGATGGTGAACACTTCCACGTATGCCTCCTCACCATTGCTGATTTATGTCAACCTCAATATTAAGGTAAGTTGTTTAACACATAAATTAACACGATAATGCATAGAACCTAATAGAACCTGACCTAACATACCCACCCTAGGGGTATGTTAGGTCAGGTAGTGCTGTTCTCAGACATTACCCACCAAACTTACCCAAATGTTTCCTGTCATGTTGTATTTATTTTGTGTAAGGTTAGTTACTCATATAGCTGTGAAGTGTTAATTCTGTACCTAACTTCACCCAACACATCTGGTCTTGTTCCACTAATTCATTAGTGAAATATTTTACGTGTACAAAAACTAGTTACTCATTTGGCTATGAAATAATAATCTATTGTATTGGAAAAATAAAAACTTAATAACATTTAATTACCTCAAACTGACACATCCTTTGGCAGGTGTTGAACTAAGTATCATTATCATCATTGACCCCATCACTGTCCTCTAGTTCACAAACCATACATGACCATAGTTGTCACTCGGTAATTACTGATATTGTACCTCCTTAGTTAATGATGTTCCAGGACCTCGTTTACTTATTTTTTTTCTCCTAGGAAAAAATTTTAGTTAAGCTTTTAAGCTTAGCCTTACTCACCTGTGAAACGATATTCCAGTCCCCTTTTTCTGACGAATTCTACAGTTATAAGCAACACAAGTTGCAGGCATCACTCCGTCTTCACCTCGCCTGGCCTTTGATGACTCTAATAAAGATGGCGATGATGCTTCAAGATGGTAGGCGGGGCGACCGTGGCGCCATCACTCACAGTCCATTAACGCTAACACACTACACACGTCTTGTTTCCCAAGTGTTAGACGCCCCTTTTTTACCTTCTCAGTGTCTAGGTCTCTTCAACACACAAGTGTCACCTTCCTAACGCCTGGCTCAGCCCCTCACACCAACCATTGTTTACACCCGATGGTTAATGGACACCAAAACATTGCGGTGTTCATCTTGTCAAATATAATTGTACAGTGAGGAATCTGTTTTATTTATCTAATTTTCCTTCAACTGGAATCTTTAGTTTTATGGGAAATGTCACATGTACTTGGACTGGTAATCCAGTTAGTTTCAGGTAGCTTATTTCTCCCCGAAGGCACACCTTGGTAGAGGCCCAGGGCGGTCCGACTAATTACCCAAATGTAGCCGCAATGAAGACAAATAATGGTCCTACATGAATAAATCGGACTGCCAATCACTGCCAAAGTAAAGCACCACCTTCTACGATACTCAGTGAGGAACTGATGTAAATGATGGGCTGAACCTTAACTTTAAAGAAAGCAGACATACCCTGGATTTAGAGCATGTTGACTGAACAAGCTCTGTGTATATTTAAACCTGCACCAAATTTTTCTCATTTTGAACTGGCAATATGATGTGAAGGATTTATTGGGTTCATAAAGTGATCCATGGGGTGGCATGGTAACCAATATGCCTCCCACTATGAGTATATTACACGATCCACCTAGTCTTAAGGCTTGACTATAAACAAGGGATGATTCGTAATTACAATAAAGTAGTTGTAGAGTTTCTTTGCACACACAGTACAGTACATACAGCATAGTATATGATTAACTTAAAAATAACTATTTCCAGTGTTTTGCCATTAACCACAAGTACAGTAAAGGTTTATCTAAAAGAATCTTGTGTACAAATCATTACAAAATCAGATATTACTGTACAGCATTTCACTTACAGTAACACCTTTCTAGTGCACCAAAATTTACGAAAGTTCACAAAAAATATTTAAAACACGGGTAAAAATATTGAGCAAAAGATAAGAAACGCTGATATTTCTCATCTTGAGGATTAACTTATGTTAAAAGTACTGTAAACAATTTCCTCTCCCAAAGCTTTGCCACCAACCAGCTGGTGTAACTGTGGGTCACTGTGTACACTAAGTTACAATGGGCCATCCTACTGAATTTACTTCCAAAAGGTTTTTCCTTTTATTTTCTTCCTTTCTTTCCTCATTCCATATATTCATTTGTGTGATGTTATTACCCATTAGTGTCCTTGTATGAGTTTGGGACTGTAATAACAACTTAACCTCTTCACTACGGGATGAAACTTTTAATGTTTTATTTAATTGACGACAGGCGATTTCATTCAGCAGAGAGGACCCTATACACGGGGTTAAAGATTAATGTTGTGTAGTTGCCAGCTACCGCTAAATGCTCATTGAGTGATGTGTTTAGAATTTTAAATACCGAGATTATTTACAACTTGTTTATTAAATTTTTAAATCCAAATCTTAATTTCTGTATGATTATTAGATCAAATAATATTTTTATTTTGTTTTCACCAAAATTATACAAAATGGACATCAAGATGTGGTGTAATGATGTTTGGACCATAAGGCTCTTTAGTGTTACCTGTGATACACCTGGGTTTAAAGTGTTTGTGTCATGAAGAAGTGTTGTATAGTACCTGACATTATGGGTTTTTGGTCTTAAGGTCCACTGCACCAAATTATAAGTAACTGTTTAGGTTACAAAATTCACATGTTCACTCCAAGGGTGTTCCTAAAGGTTTATAAATAAGAAACGTTTTACTGTCAATGAATAAACTGTACTGTATGAAAAAATGTTAGCCCTGAATAAAAATAAATTATTTTCTTTTGATCTGTTTATAATGAAGTAAAAGTTAATCAAACTAAGTTCTTCTCAGAATACAACTTTTATGAAATCATTTACAAATCCACTTAAATAATTAGTATGAATCAAATAATGCTTTTATTACTTTTAAATATCCTTTGAATATTTTATTAAGAAATGGCAACAATAGCAAAAAATATATACATTCCTCATTAGCTCATAGTAAATAAATAGCAGCTGAAAACCCCAGAAACAATCAAGTACCATTACCAGCATTTTATACAATACTAAAACCCGAGTGATATATGTACAGTGTAGTGCTCTTCTTAATGTCAACAAAATTTCATTGATTACTTTACAATAACCTAATGCATATCAAATCTAACTTACAAACTTCAGAGGTAACACTCGGAGACTTTCTACACACAAGGTGAGAGTAATTTAGGCCTACAGTAATTTTCTGATGTGAAAAGTCTGTCAGTGTCAAATGATGGAGTACAGTAGCCAATACAGTACAGTGATATCTCTGTTAGCTGGAACAATTGGTGCAGAGCACCTCCAAGAAGGAGAGATTTCCGGGTAACGAGACGACTCTCTCAAAGTCGGAAAAAATCCCTCATCCCTGGAATTTTCCAGGTAACGGAAAAATATTATTGGAAGTTATAGAAATGCCCATTACATCATCTCTCGAACCCAGAAAAATATCCCTCATCCCTGGAATTTTCCGGCTAACGGAAAATTTTTCTCAAAATTTCCATAAAATGCATCTGCTTTTTATCTCTCAATCCCAGAAAAACAACTCCACATCATACCGAGAAAATTTTCTCTGAATTTCCCGGAAAATCGTTCCCAAAGCCAGAATTTTTTGGAAATTCCGGCTTTGGGAAAATTTCCATTCTGGCTATCAGAGAGTTCTGGGTTTGAGGGATTCCGGCTAACGGAGATATTACTGTACTCCTCATCTGGGAGGTGGGGTCTTTGAATTTGGCAAACAACACAAGACATATCTGACATTATCCATTTGCCATATACATAAAAATACACTGTACTGTATCTCTATCCCACAGAGAGGATGTGCCCATGAACACTTCACTGTATTCATTTGTAATGATTTATGATTTATACTTGAGCATACGAAACAAAACCAACAGCCAACGGTACACAAATTAACGTTAGCATTCCTCGGTCTACAGCAAGGGGGTATCTGGTACTAAATGTACATCAAATCATTACTGTATTAGAAAAAAATCAATGATTAAAGTAATACAACCATCAATATAAACAGTTAATTCAGTTTTACAGTTTAAAGCTGTAGACAGTGCTTAACTGAGGTAACACACAGAATAGGGTAATTGTTTTATGTAGCTACCTATTAACTCCACTTACCAGCTAACAAGAGTACATTACAGTATTGTCAAAGTTCACATATGTTTTAAAATATATGAGGGCATTTGAAACTTTTGGGATTCTCAGAACATGTAAACAATGATAAGTGATAAACCCTCGAATCTTTTATATCTACGTACAGTATTCATATATTTACATAATAGAAGAAACAGCAAGAGATAATCATTCAATAAATAAGAATAGAGATAGAGTACCTAACAGTTAAAAGGAGAAATACAAAATCTGATATATTCTTGCACTAATTTTCAGCATAACAAATGGTTTACTGCAAAGAACAAGCTTCTTAGTGTAACTAATCACAAGGAAATCCCTTGAAAATGTTTGGAATTTATGAACATGAGGATACCATGTTAAAGCAGTTAATCTATAGTAAACCTCGAAAAAGAGTACTCTACATACACATTTATTACGGTCTTCCCATTTAATCATAGGCACTTGTTTCTCTCACTGTTTACACAACTGTTTCTATACCAGCACCAGTGACCTGTACTAAAACATTACCGCTATACAGTAAATCTTAACAGTTGGAATTGGCATCTTACTACCGTAATTTTGTTCAAATAAAACATGCACTGTTTCTCTCACTTATAACCTGTACAGTACAGTACTAAACTTGCCAGAGCACATGTGCAATAATTTCCAGTGGCATTACCCAAAGATGAGAATTTTCTTAACAAAAATTTCTCATTTTCTTTTGTGCAAATAAAAAAATTAAATGTTTCCAGGATTCCATAATAATATATTTATAACTTAATTCCAAGGCAGTTTATGGGCATGATGTTCCCAAACTTTACTGCCTGTCAGGATATTGATGTGGAAGGGCTGCAAGCAAAATCTTCAGTTACTTGATAAGGTAACCATTGTCTTTTGATTGAATTAAAATTCATATCACTTATTACAATTAAATTAAAAGGTATGGTATTGCATTTACTCTCCCTCAACATGTATATTAGGGTTATTAAATGGATCAAGTAATGGATCATTATCAGATGCTCCGTGTCCTAAGTATGACAAAACAACTAACAGGGTGGCACATGCTAGCAACACTAAGACAATGATCATACGTCGTCGTCCCCCTATTAGGGTTTGGTGGTGACGTGATGGTGGACGACTCATAGTTCTGAAAATATAAAAAAATTATACAGGTTAGTAATAAGTTTTCCAGGACCTAATTACAGCACAGTGTTTCACAACAACCTTCTTGCTACCAGGCAGAGCAGGGAAATTTCTAACCATTTCCCAACTGATGGCAAAATTTTTTCATCCAATGACCTGTATATTTTGTAAGGGTCATTCTTCAACTCACAATTTTGAGTAAATATACTTAATTTTGGTTTATTTTTTTTTTTACTCAGTTGCATGCACACATCATCCTACATACATACCAACATAATGTACCCCCCCAAAAAGGGGGGGGGGCTAAACATTTCTTTGTATGCTAGAGTCAGTGAGTCAGTGCGCTGAGCGGAGTGTGGGATCTCAGCTGCTCAGAGCTGTCTCCTTGTTACCGCAAGCAGTAATGAGTAGGATAACCCTCAAATAAATATTATGTTAGGTTGTAAGTCATGTCATGTTTATTGGGCGTGCCTGCCCGTATATAGAGTATCAAGTTAGTGGAGATACAGAGAGACAAGGAGAAGGATGGTGGTGTATTAGTAGAGGGGCGTTGTTTGTGTATAAAACGCATGATGCAGCAAAATGTTTCATCCCAGGCAGCACCTGTGAGAGACCTTCAACACGTAAATTCAACCTGTACTTAAGTTTACATAGGTAGACTGTGTCCATTGTATCGTTTATCATTGTGACAATATGGAAATATGGCAAATTAAGTACTGTACTCATTATAGACATTAGGATTATACTAATTATACAGCTAAGATAGCTATGAGTGTTATGTGAATATGTAGTGGAATAAACATTTACAGTATGTATGATTGCCTATGTATGATTTATTATTTGAAATATAGTAAAGCCTCGAATAACGACGGTAATGTGTCCACCAATATTGCAGTGTAAGATGATCCATCGTATCGTGAATCATTAATTACATACCATTAAAATAAAGCAATAATAATGAGATGCGTTCCCAAGTGTGACCTTTTCACATCTTTTGTGTGGCTTTTACCCTCTTTTTCCCCAAAACAATAAAATTATGAAAAATGCAAACTGAATTATTTAAATGATATTTATGAATGCACCTTATAAAATATAAATGAATAATAATATGGTCACACAAGAGGAGATGGGACGCCATTGCTTTCGTTAGTGTTTACAGCTGGGAGTCTAGGACAATGGTTCTACATGAGAAAATGAAGAAAATAAGACCCTGGTTGTAGCTGTAGTAAAATTAATGTAAAAAAAGGAATAATATGTTTTAAGTACTGTAATGTTATTTAATGTTAATAAATGGAACAATAGAAATAGCTAACCACTAATGGCAAAGAAAAAAAGCGAGATGGATTGGGAACGCCAACATATACGTGCACATTCAAGGAAACATAGCATCATTTATCTTATTAAGAATATGTACAAAAGATTCATTATTGTTTATTACTGAATATATGTATTTGATTGAATTAATGTTTATACATGTGAAATGAACAATGCAATTCATTAATAATACGTAGAATATTAAAACACACAAGAGGAGATGAGACGCATTATTTTCGTGAGTGACGATGGTTCTACATAAGAAACTGAAGAAAATAAAACCCTGGTTGTAGCTGAAGTGAGCTTAATGCAAAAAATTAATAACTGTATGTATGTTTTAAGTAATGTTATTTAATGTTAATATATAAAACAATAGAAGTAGCTAACCACTAATGGTGAAGAAAAAAGCGAGACGAATTGGGAACGCCAACATATGTAAGTGCATAAATGTGAAAACATATCGCCATTTCTCTACATAAGAATATGAAAACAACACTTATTTACTGTTCATATAGGTTTTAAATAATACTTACGAATGTAAAACAAAAGTTCTACTCACCAATGGTGGTAAAATCTAAAACATTAGGACAGCTAATGTTGTGAGTTTTTACTCAGATGACAAAGTCATCAGGTTCAACTCTGGCTGAAACTGTAGGTTCAACTCTGGCTGAAGCTGTAGCTTTCCATAAAGCTGTTGCTGAAACTGTTACTAAACCTGAAGTTGTTGATGAAGTTGCTTATGATGCAGAATTTGATGGTGTAGCTGAAGTTGATGGTTTAAGCCTTTGAATAATGAAGCTGTCAAAAGAACCTTGCACAACTGCTTTCTTTTCTCATTATACAACTTTATGTAGAGGTCATTTGCATTTTTCATGTTCCTGTTAATTTTAATGCTTCATTCTGTTAATGGATCCACTTCAGAAAATATTTTCATTGTTTCCTCCATATAATATCCACAGACCTCTCACCCCTTTTTCATATCGTTTTAACACATCTAGTTTCTCAGCTAAGCTTATACACTTTCTTTCGGCTTTTTAACCAGCACTACCATCACTTGCTCTCTTGCTCATGTTGAATAGGGATGCAAAAATGCCACAAGAAACCTGAGAAAGTTTTTCTCCTTTTCCTATAAAACAAAGGGCCCGCCAAGCTGCGACTGTTTATACTAGTGATGCTGGCGTCACCACTCACAAGCCCAGCAGCCTCCGTGTGCAAGGCATTATTTTTTCATATTTGTATTATACATATCGGGATCTAGTTATTATTTATATGAAAATGTAATTAATTTTATTTTCTATTCTATTTTCGTCATAAATACAAAGAAAATAATGGTGTACTCGGTAAATTGAATTGGGTCCTTAATTAACCAGTCTTAAATATGAATCGCCGTTATCGGAGGTTTTCTTGTATACTAAGAATTAATTGTATCCAACAGGTTTGACCAAATTATAACGTTCGAGTTCAACGTGACGGGTCTTTTTATCCCATAACCGCTTTAATGGCGATTACACTCCTGTATGAGGTGAAAATGGATGACAAATATTTTGTCATCCAGCAGTGAGAGGGTTAATATCAAATATTATAGCTTAATATTTTAATTTTATTTGCTGTTTATCTCAAATGTTCAACTCCTCTATTACTCAAAATTCAAAAATCAAAACACATCACCTTGACAACAGTTATCTCTGTTAATCCTCTGAGAAAATTTAATTTTCCCACATTTTGTTTTCCTGATCATCTGTGTAGAGGTTTCTGGCCACATGTCCAATAATATTGGCTGGACCACAGTTGTGTCAATACACACCACTTCCACTCATGTGCTTAAATAACTTGCAATGAAACAAGTATCTGCAGATATGAGTGTGTAGATGTGGCCAGAAATGAAAAGGTTGACTCCTCAAAGCCATTTGTGGCTGACATGAGAAAAAGAGTGAGGTGCACACTAGCTACAGTGGTGCCACTTGCTGCACAGGCTTCCTTCCTCTAACTAAAAAACATTTGCTTTTACATTTCCTTTTAGGGTGATGGTTAAAACACGGGAGGATGGAGCAATTTTACGATTAGTTTTAGCCATCTACATCAGGTTACCTGAGTTTTAACCAATGGCTTGGTGACTAGTCATAAATTACCGGGTACTAAAAGCTGTTATCAACACCATCTTCATGTAAACATCAGTACTTAACCAAAATAAATACCAATATCTCAGTTTCCATGCAGGAAGTAAAGTGAGCAGGACTCATATTCTATAAAACTGAAACACACCATGACATGTTAATTTGTGTGATGACTAAGAGTAAACTATAAACACTGTTCTTTATCTTACCTCCACCACCTACTGAACCACTCTATGGCAGATCTCCGTTTGTATTTATTTTCATCGTCGTCAACATCTACGTCGCCATTTAAATTGAGTCGTGTTTCTGATGAAGACCCTTTGCGAGCTACACTGCTGTTAGAAGAGTGATGACCGTCTCTATACTGAGAAGTGATGGGAGGATCCTCAACGGCTGTAACTCGCACACTGCTGCTTCCATTGCCCCCAACACTGCCCTCACTATTGGTGATGCTGCTGTTGTTGTCTGATAATACAACATAATTAAAAAATACATATACACTGATAAAAATAGCCGAGACATAAAATACATGTACAGTAAAACCTCGATTAACCGCCCACATATGGGGGGAAGGGGCCGACGGATAATCCAAAAGGTCGGTTAATAGTAAATAAAGTCTACAGAAATAAAACATACATTTTTTAAAGTACCTATCCCTAACCTACCTCATTTAAGTCCCTCTATTCATTTTTGTTCATTTGCCATTCATATTTCAATAGCATTTGCTTTTAAACTTTAACCACTTTAGTAAATATATATGAACAAGCACAGAAACCGTAAATAAAAAAAGGAAAGGTCAAAGAACATATGGCATCACGAAAATTGTGACCAAGTCCCAGGTTGTTGGTCTGGCTCTCTGCCTCATTTACACACAATTGTAGGGTCTCAATTATTTATCTTACTATTGACAACACAACATACATATATTGTTTCTCACTTTTGATTTTTTGGGGGTTCTTTATTATTATTATTATTATTATTATTATTATTATTATTATTATTATTATATACTCATACCTATATGTTCTAGAGACAAATATTGTAATCAACTACAGTACCTCAGTTCACTTATAACAAGGACTATATTGTAAGTCTTACCATGAGTATTAACTCTTGTGTGTGTATCGGCAGTGTGTGTTGTGGTCTCCATCAGTGGTTTTGCATGGGTGTTCACTGGTCTAGACTGGGCAGTTGACGAAGAGTCACTAGTCTTCAGTTCAATAACTGTGGTACCATTTGCTACACTCCAGTCAGGCAGGTCAATGCTCCCACTATTTTCAATCTGTAGGATATATTATTATTTGTAATGAGCTAATTTTCTGTTAACTGCATATACAGTACTGTACTGCATTCCTTTTCTGATTAAGTATGAGGAACAAGCTTAACAAGCCTCATACTGTATAAGGGTAGAGCAAATGATAAACATTAACCAATACAGTATAGCTTAAAAGTAATTCAAGACACATCTCCAAAAAGACTTAAAATATCTCCCTGCATCTTACATGCCTAAGGTTATCCCTGAGGGGATGTGGTTGATAATAGTACATGACTAAAATCAAGACTCTCCCATTTGACATACTAGTTCCCAGATGATCCCAGCATGAAATTCAGTGTGAAGTTCAAATTCAAACATCCTTGGGAATATGAGGTTACTTTTTTATTCTAATTACAACTTTCAAGCCATATTTAAATATTTAAGGTATTCTCTTGAAAAACTATTAACTACTTGTACCTGTATTTTCCCTCAAAATTATGGACAAACTGATAGCACCCATCTAAGACCCTGACCTTCACTAGTATCTGAACCAAGACTGCTCCATGGGGGTTAGTTCAGTAACATTAATCACCAAGGGTGGGGTGAAATTCTGATATATCAGTGCATGGAAAACTATTTATCATGAATGATTATCATTTTCAAGTACTGAACTAACTCGCTCACTTCTCACACACTATGAGTAGGATTTACATTACCAAAGGCAAACCTAGTCCAGTTCTTGCCCATGGAAGTACAGCAAGAGTCTCTCTCAACCGGTCAGCAATAGGAGACACCAGATTTGCAGGAGGAAACACTGCCTTTGAGCAGACAGGACATTTATAACCAGCCGGGGCTGTGTCAGGTGGTAATCGACTAGCCCAATCATTCAGGCATTCCTTGTGAAACAAATCTGCACACAGAAGAAAAAATGGTAAAACATAACAATTACAGAAATTAATTACATTTCTTACAATACAATACCTTTTATTTAAAATTATAAATTTAATCTCATAACTGAAACTAAAAACAATGAGTTTGAACACAATCAAAAAGCCTTATTCAATTCTGACAATGTAAGAACAGGTATACTGGTGCTGTACAGGTATCTGTATTTTATGAAAGTCTTTCATTAAAACTAAAAAAGACGTAACCTTGATATTTTAAATCTTAAGTACAGTACAGTATTTACACATTTTCACCCGTCACTTGTAATAAATCATACAAAATCGAAGAAACTCTGCCTCTTCACATGATTTTAGCTCTACATTCACTTGAGCAATAACGTACATGCACAGCCGGCTAGAGAGTGTAGCGCACAGTCAAACAGCTGATCTCTGGAATACATAAACAAACAAAATGGTGATCAGGTGATCCGACAAAAGAGGAAGGCGTTCAAGGTGACGGAGAAAATGGGAGTTCAAGATAGTTTAAAAAATCTTAGAGAGGGATGAAGTTACCCAGAAATCTCTCGTTTCTGGAAGTGCTCTGCACCAATTGTTCCGGTTAACGGAGATATCACTGTACGTACTTATAAAAATATGGGTTAATATATTGTTATATAATTATATCACCCCTCGTAATTTTACATGAGCTGTGAGATGCGAGTTCAGATCACGTGATGGGTATTTTCCTCTATCAGGTTATGTCTTAAAGATGATTAGGCACAGCCATAAGATGCCGGCTCTCTGCCGCAGTTATCACTTGACCCTCACGAGAAATACACGTTGAATCCCAAGGTTCCAGATAAGCTTGCCATCTATTCTTCTGGCCCTCACAGCTTTCAGTGATATTACTGTATTCTCTTTATTGAAGTGTACAAACATTATTTTATTATAAATAAATGGAGAAAAGACCATTTGGGTTTTGACAACTTAACCCACAAACTAGACAGCTCCAAGGTTGTTATATAACAGTTCCAAAGCCTTATACACCTCCTGTGTCTCTAAAGCACAATGGACTGCTAGAAACTTAAATTAAACAAATGTTAAATGTAAATTAAATGTGAAAAAGCCATAAGTTTGAGCAACATATTACTATTCACACTTTGTACTCAAAGGTACTACACTAATTGACTAAAATTTGTATCTCTTTTGCAAGCTACAGTATATGATGTTTATACTCAAAATTAATCACTACTGTACCTTACAAGGGTTCCAGTTATGCAAGTTATATTCTGTTATGTCTAGTCAGCAAAATTTTACAAGATAAAAACTTTAAGCCTGAACCACCTTCACCCTGGCTGTGAGGAGGGGGGAGGGCCGAGAGGGAGGAGAGGTACTGACACACCTGGCAGCGAAGGTTGGGAAGGTTACCTAGTGCCTATTTATTTATCAGTTATATAGAGGGAGTTAAGTTTTTTGCTTTTAAAATGTCACTGAATTGACTTAACAGAAGATAACTTACATTGCTGGAATTCTTGTAAGATAGTGATTAATTTGAGTATGAACATCACATAATTTGCACTAGACATGAAAATTTTAGTAATTATTTAGTACATTTGAGTACTACAGGTTTGCCCTTAGGACAATTATTTCTTTTACTTTTTAAACAATATGTATTTAGGATGATGTGTGCATGTAAATGAGCAAAAATAAATTAAGAAACTTACATATATCTACCCGAAAATACGAGATGAAAAACTTGTACTCAGATGTACTACACTGAAGGACTAAAATATTTTATCTCTTGTGCAAACTATGTGATGTCTATACTCAAATTAATCACCAAGTTAAAAGGATTCCCGCAATGCAAGTTACATTCTGCTAAGCTTAGCCCGACATTTTATAAGATAAAAACTTTAAGTCTAAAAGTACCTTCACCCCGGCTGGGAGGGAAGGGGGAAGTTAAGTGCCCTCTCGTAATTTTGTCCGGACTAAGGGAGGTGCCGGACCATCAGTTCCCGGAAAATCAGTGGTGTACCTGTATCGTCCCATTCACCGGCTGAGAGCATATTGCCCAAGTGAATGCAGGGCTGAATCACTAACTGAAGTCAGAAGACAGTTTCAGTCACCTTTATTTCAGAATATTTACACAGCACACAATGCTCATCACACAACTATTACAAAAATACAGCACAGCAAGTAATAATTTCTTCACAGAAAGGTTTCAGCATTTACAGTACAATACTGTACACATGAGTAGTCAATGTAGGATATTTTTGCAGAGACTTTCACTTCACCTAAATACAGTATAGTCTTGTGGAGTCTCAGAACTTAATGGACATAGATAAGTATCAGAACCTAAGTTCAAAAGATGAATATTGAAACTTGAAGGACGCAAGTGAATATAAGCACCCAATTAAAACATCATCACCATCTTAAGGCCAATTTCCACAGTTGTGAGGGTTAGCTGTGATTACCTGATGGCATTGTGTCCCAATTGCTATCATGTAAATTGCAATTAAGTTTTACAACTGAATGCCCTTCCTACTGCTAACCCACTGTTACAAAGTGAAAACTGGGCAAAATAAGAAAGACTTCCAAAAGCTCTCTTAGTTTGCAATGTAAATAAGTACTGGCACTTATGTGAGGTAGATGAATACTGTACTGTATTAGCACCACAGAGGAGACAAAAATCTACATTAAAATGAGACACAAGTGTGTCAACATAAATGTGAAGTAAAGTAATCTGTGCACAGTAGTAATATCTCCGTTAGCTGGAATCCCTCAAACCCAGAAATCTCCGATAGCCGGAATTGAAATTTTCTCAGGAAATCGTTCCCAAAGCCAGAATTTTCCAGAAAATTAAGGCTTTGGGAACGATTTTCCGAGGGGCTAACAGATATATTACTGTAACTAATCAGATATTTTCATTGTTACTCTTCAAATGAATAAGAAATATAAATCGTGTTTACCGTAACAAACAAGGCGTATGCACTCCCCTGCAGCCAACTGGTCATCACATATCCGACACACTGGGTTGTAATCACTGTCACTTAGCCATTGGCGATATGACTGGACGACACACTGAAAAATAACAGAGACTAAAGTGGATCTGAAAATTTTTCTATAGTGAGATGAGGGTACATGGTTATGGAGACTTTCCTACCATGATGACCTTCAGCCTTAACCTCATCAAGACTCACAAGCCTAATAACCCAGCAAGACCCATCATTAGCTCAGTTGGGTCAATTTCTTATAAGTTATCTAAATGGTTAGTTTCTTTACTAAATCCCCGAGTGGGCAACATTTCTAACTCTAATATTAAGAATAATATGGATCTGGTTGATAAACTCAATAACTTACACATTAATTATGATTTTAAACTGGTCAGTTTTGATATAACATTACTCTTTACAAAGGTCCCAATTGATGATTTACTGGAGTTCCTCACAGATTCCCTGGATAATATTTCATTGCCCGTCTCGAAAGATGACTTCATCAAACTACCTGTATGTATTAAGGATTGAAAATTTGAATTCAATGGAGAATATTATTCTAAAAAATTTGGTATGGCAATGGGTAATCCACTCTCACCTGTATTAAGCAACTTATATATGGAATTCTTTGAGAAGAAACTTTTAAGTAATATTTTACCACCCTCAGCAGTCTGGTTTAGATATGTAGATGATGTAATATGTCTTTGGCCATGTAATGAGGACCTAAAAGCTTTTCTACCACGACTTAACAACTTAGCCCCCTCGATCAAATTCACTATGGAATTAGAGAATGACTGCAAATTACTATTCCTAGACTGTCTGAGCCACAGAATAGGTAACACCTTTAAGTTCAGCATTTATCAGAAACCTTCTAATGTGTGTTCATACATTCATTATTATTCTGCCCAATATTATTCTGCAATATTTACATTCAGTCTTGCACGTAGGACTCTTTACTGAGGTTGGAAGAACACCATGCGATCAAAAAAATGCTATAGTTTCTTCGTTTTTCCCCCAAAACTGTCAATCAGCTCCATATAATTGAAGTGACACCCATCACAGACTTCCATGGTCGGAAATGAAGTTGAATTTCGAAATATGACCCAAAATAAAAATAGATTTTCATTGGGCCAAAAATACCGCGAATTAAACCACAAATCATTTTAATTGGTTGCAAAAAAAAAAACGCTTTTGATTGGTCGTATCACGTGTACGGGAACACATGCGCTTGGTGATTAATCAAGGAGACACGCAGATGACACGCAGTGTGGGAGGTGAGGCAGGCGATAATGGAGGAAGATTAATGGAAGAAAATAGAAAAAATTTTGGATATGCTATTTCCGTTATTATACATTTGCGACGGTAATGTAATAGATGAAAATGATCTTATAATTAGACGTCTTACTAAAATATGAAATTAGATTAGTGGTAGGAATGTGGAATGTTTAAACGCAAAAAAAAATAATATATATTAAATTAACAATACTGACATGTTAACAATAGAGGAAGTTGTCACACTCCCCTGTAGTTCTGCTGTCAAATAACAATTACCAATATCTCCATAACCTTATTTACAATTACATTTATACTTACTGTTGTGTGTTCACCGACCATACAGTGTTCACATACATTGACTCGGTGCTCAAAACAGAACTGTGTGGTCATTTTTTTCTTGGGACACTTACAGAGCCCCATTTTGACAAGAGATTTGTTGTGATCTGCCAGACTGCCACGTCTGGCCCGGTCGCTTACACCGACATGATATCACACACACACACACACACACCACATTTTTATATCTTATAATTTGTTTTAAAATGTTGATAGAATAGCCAAGGGAGGATCCAGGGAGGTCCTGGGGGGTCAGGACCAGGAAACCCATTACTTTTTCTTTAATGCAGTATTGTACTTAGGCAGTTTTGTGTGCTTTTACTTTTACTTTTATCCTCTTCACCACTGATCGGCTCGTTAGCCGCTTGAGCGATCGGTCACGTCTCTGTCACGCACTGTTGGCAAGTACTGGGCATGCACCGGCTCCTGAATGTACCTGAACCTGCTCCAGTGTTGGTCAAGTCCTGTCACAACAGGTGCCGTCACAACACTTTCTCATAGATTGTTCCAAGAGTTTACAACCCTCACTCCGAAAAAGTTTGTCCTCACAGTTTTCTGGACTTGCGGCTTCTTCAATCTTGAGCTGTGACCCCTTGTGGGACGAACGTCCGCCAGCTCCAAGTAAGGACACTCGACTGAGTAGTGCCCCTGAGATGCTTATACACCTCAACTAGGTCACCCCTTGCCCGTCTGTAGTATAAACTAGGCAAGTTCAGGCGCTCCAATCTCTCATGGTAGCTGAGGTGCCGAAGTGCAGGCACCAGACTGGTGGCCCCCCTTTGAACATTTTCAACCAACTGACAGTCCCTAGCATATCTCGGGGACCAGGCGGGGTGACAGTACTCCAGATGGGGAAGCACTTCACTCTTGAAGATCGTTACGAGGGACGGACCGTCTAGATATCTGAACGACCTTCTTATAAGACCCAATAATTTATTTACCTGATTTACCTTCTTCTCGCAATGGCCCTAGAACTTCAGCTCATTGTCAACATACACACCGAGGTCCTTCTCACATTCAGTCTCAACTAGTGCAGTTTCTTCGTCCAGTTGGGACATATTGTACGCCTCCTTACCGTTGGTACGCCCCAGGTGCATCCTCTTACACTTTGTGACATTGAATCTCAGCAGCCATTTCTTCGACCATTCCTGGAGCCCATTCCTGGAGGCGTATCGCATGTCACAACAGGACGAAGAGACTGCATTAATTGAGACCGAATGTGAAAAGTACCTAGGTGTATATGTCGCTAATGAACTTAAATTCTCGGGCCATTGTGAGAAGAAGGTGAATCAGACAACGAAACTAGTAGGTCTTATGAGGTTGTTTAGATATCTGGATGGTCCGTCGCTCGTCACGATCTTCAAGAGTGAAGTGCTTCCCCGTCTGCAGTATTGTCACCTCGCCTGGTCCCAGAGGTATGCTAGAGACTGTCAATTGAATGAAAATTTCCAAAGGAGGGCCTCCAGACTGGTCCCTGTTCCACGGAACCGCAGTTACACAGATATTGGAGCGCCTGCAACTACCTAGCTTTTACTACAGACGGGCGAGGGGGGACCTAATTATTAGGTCTTATAAGAAGATCGTTCAGATATCTTGACGGTCTGTCCTTCGTAACGATCTGCAGGAGTGAAGTGCTTTCCCGTCTTGAGTACTGTCACCCTATCTGGTCCTCGAGTTATGCTAGGGACTGTCAGTTGATAGAAAATTTCCAAAGGAAGGCCACCAGGCTGGTACCAGCACTTCGGTACCTAAGCTACTCTGAGAGATTAGAGCGCCTGCAATTTCCTAGCTTAGACTACAGACGGGCAAGAGGGGACATAATTGAGGTGTATAAACATCTCAAAGGACGCTACTCAATCGAGTGTCCATACTATAACTGGCGGACACTTGCCTCACAGCTCAAGGTTGAAAAAGGCGCAAGCCCAGAACACTGTAAGGGGTAACTTTTACGTAATGATAGTTGTGAACTATTGGAACACTCTGCCAGAGAGTGGTGTAGTGTGCTGTAGAACAACACACTACACACGATTTCATAACCCTGTCAAGTAGTGTAGTAATAGCTATGTATATAAGTATTGTGACATTATCAGGAAAATTAGATTTGGTGCGTTGGAAATATGATACAAGGTTAGAACAGTGTGGGGGTTCAGTAGTGGTTCATACTTCTCACACTCAGATCCCGACCCCGAGTCCCCGAGGTTGTGAGAGGGAACAAGGACTCAAGGAGGAGCTGGATGGAGTAGTCAATGAAGTGTCAGATAGTCAGCTTCGATCAGGTAAAGCATTATATGAAGGTATAATTTGGCCATGAACACAGTGTTGTCTTCATGGTGTACTGAATCATGTGGCGTTAAGGTATTACATGATATTGGTTAACCTGGAAGTGACGGACTATGGATGTTGTGATAACTAGGAGGCATAACTAATACCGGTGAATGTAATCGTTATCTCCTCTTTATTAATTATCTTCACAACAGCCAGTATTCCCATATAGATTATCATATGGAAATATCCTCAAGGTACAAGTAAGGGGTGGCATATAGCAGTCAACGTAATCATGAGCGGTTATTTAAAAAAAGGACTTGAATATTCCTTGTCTGTTTGATACATAGCTATTACACTGTACTACTGTTTCCCATGAATGATGTACAGTAATACAATGGATGTAAATAGGTGCTAGTGTCCACCTTCAGAACAAAGATTAGGTTAGGTAAGGTGGTAAATTTATTGGTTCGGTCAGCCAGCTATGTTTAGGATATTTAAGTTTTGGAATCAGTATTTTCCCGACTGTTATTACTTAAAGAGTATATGGAGAAAAAAATGGGTGGGGGAAAATCACAAAAAAGTAATAATTTGCGATAGAAATGAAAGTCAGAATAATCCAAAACTTAACCTAACAACCCAATTCAATCCAATTTAACCCGAAACCTTACCTTAGACTCAGAAGATGCTCAGTTGGGGTCATGAGATCCTCCTCTTCATCCACAAGTTGCACTGCCTGGCATCTTTCTCTGATGATTAAGAATCAAATGATCTAACTTCAGTATCAGTTGGAAACTCAGGGCATCCCTAAGGATGATGTCAGGGATTTGTCGCTTCTACTGGCAGACTCTACTCTAACTTATTGGACAATTTTACAAGCAGTAAAAACAGTTGAAGCTATCAATATGACTCACAAGGGATCTTGAATGTTTCATCTGTAATCAGACATATCTAATTTAATGTAAAACATGTGTGTTCTCTCTGAATTTCAAATCTCTAAACATAATATGAGGTACAGCATTATGAAATATCAGAGTCTTGGTGGTACACGAGAGAAAACAGAAGACTCAGACGGACTGAAGCGGTGAGAAAACTGACGTCTCAACTGGGGACTCAATAAAGAAGTTACAGCTACATGTTTTATGGGCTATTGAGTGTAATATGAAATGTCTGATTTTACTGATTTTACTAACATGTGCGACCGTGGTCAGCACAACCACATCCGTGATAGACCTCGAATTTAGCAAAGTGACAGAATGCAGGATTGAGACCAGCAGTTGGAGGTCAAGTCTTTAACAACTGTCATGATTTTTTATTTAGATTCAAATTAGCAGATATTAAGTTTGTATTAATATGCTGAAGAAATATTGATAACTGCCTGTCTTAAGTGTTGAATACAGTGATGTAGAGAATGTCAGGATTTCTTAAGTACAGTACAGTATGATGGCAGGCAAGAGGAGTGGAAACATCAATATTCTATAAACTACCCATTTTTTACTCTAACCTGACAAACAGTACATGTTAAGGTCAAATTATCATATCGGTCATTCACCTATTTGGAAGTTGTTCAAAACACATCAAAAACCATCTGGAAAATATAATTTCATCCTTACCAAACCTTAAAATTCTAAAATTGTCTGGATGACTGAAGTGATAATACTTTAATACCCATGTTAGAGCTACAATGTTGTATTGGGCTGGTGCTTACCTCATTAAGTTTGTTATTTATCCATGTATAACTAAATTGTCATCTTCTCTCTTTCAGAAAAAAAAGATGTCCATTGCAGGGGTTGACCCAGGGTGTAAAATACTATGTGTTGGACATGTTTGTATTGACATGATCAGTATATGTACAAGCTACCCAGAAGAAGACAGTCAAGTTGGTACCACAACAAAAATTAACAGGCCAGTATATCTCTTAAGCAACCTCTTCACTTGATAGGAAATAAAAAGTTGGGAATATCATGGGATTAAAAGCTACTTAACCCCATATATAAGATGCAAGTATGAGATCTTGGGTATTTTGAGTTTTCTTACCCCAAGAGAAGAAATAAAGTATACTGTAATTGTGAAGAGTGTCTTTCTCTATTGTATTTGTAAATTAAGTTTTATGGCCATGTGTCATTATTAAGTGATTCGCAAAATGCACAGCAAAAATGTTCTCGAGCAGAGTGCATCATTGTAAAGAGGGTTTGCGCCATTATCAAGGTGGGTCCACTCTCCATGTGGATCAGTACCAGGCTGCATTAACAGCTAACTACACTAGGGTTTTTGAAGCATGATTGGAGCAGTTCAGTTGTTCCTAAAAAAACTAGTACTACAGTAATTTCAGCAGGTACTACATGACAAGAACCAACTTTTCATGACTTAAATCATCTTGCTTAGCCATTACTTGTGGATCACATCTGGTGGTCTTTGTGGATTTTCCTTGAAAAATTTAACATATTTCCTTCATTTGTGTGTGTGTGTGTGTGTGTGTGTGTGTGATGGCATAATACTTTTAGTACTGTATTGTACATGACATTTTAGATCCCTTACCTTCACCGTTCTTTCAGAATTATTATTTAAAAAGTGTATTGTATGTACTGCACGTTGCATAAATGGCTTATGTCCAATGTCACCAAATGGTTGATCTTTAATAAAACCAGTTCGTATGTTTCTTGGCCTGTGGTGGTCCTGTGCATCCATATGGACTAGAGGATGTAATTCCTAATACAGTACAGTACAGTATTAGATTTAGGAACACCAGTAGTATGCAGGTGAGTGCAAACTTTAAGTGGTACTTTTGCCTGTGGACTCAACCAGAAAAATAAATTAGAGAATCATTATCCCTTTATATACAGTATCAGGGTATGAAATAAATGACCTGTTGGTCAAGACAACTGAATCTTAATTTATGGCTGTCTGGTGTATCATGATACAAGTGAACCTTTCCAGTAGGATTCATCCCATTAAAACTTAAACTTGTCTGGCTTTTAAACCTAATGTGGTACAAGATGTTTGAAGCAAGCATTTGACATAAATTTGATGGGCGAGGGGCTTCTATGTAGTAATTAACGCTGATACAGAAGGCAGTTTAATTTGCTACTAGACATGTCAGAGCCACCAGAGCAAGTCACAGTCTGCCAAAGGGTTTTGTATTCAGTGAAACATCACAGGTCATTCTTCTCATACCCATGTTTCAATCTGTCTTTCCTTTTGTATTATATTCTCTGTAACCACCTGTATCAGAAATATAATAAATGTATTTACAGTACTCATGTTCAGTGATATTACTTATGAAATGTGTGAGTAACGCACCTTAACTTTTCACCAATCACAAATGTCATTCGTAGTTTAGCCAAAAATTTTACCAGGACAGTACAGTATTGGTAATTCTCAGGAAAGTACATATGAAGTTTATTAGTTCTTAAATATCTTTACTGTATTTTCTTATGGTTATTTACACTACCATGATGACCTACAACACCCCACTACCATGATGACCCACAACACCCCACTACCATGATGACCCACAACACCCCACTACCATGATGACCCACAACACCCCACCATCATGATGACCGACTACCGACCCACACACCCCACTACCATGGATGACCCACAACACCACCATGACCCACAACACCCCACTACCATGATGACCCACAACACCCCCACTACCATGGTGACCCACAACACCCCACTACAGTACCATGATGACCCACAACACCCCACTACCATGGTGACCCACAACACCCCACTACCATGATGACCCACAACACCCCACTACCATGATGACCCACAACACCCCACTACCATGATGACCCACAACACCCCACTACCATGATGACCCACAACACCCCACTATCATGATGACCACAACACCCCACTACCATGATGACCACAACACCCCTACCATGGTGACCCACAACACCCCACTACCATGATGACCCACAACACCCCACCATCATGATGACCCACAACACCCCACCAAGTACCATGATGACCCACAACACCCCACTACCATGGTGACACCACTTATGTGATGACCCACAACACCCCACTACCATGATGACCACAATGACCCACAACACCCCACTACCATGATGACCCACAACACCCCCACTACCATGATGACCCACAACACCCCACCATCATGATGACCCGCAACACCCACTACCATGATGACCCACAACACCCCACTACCATGATGATCCACAACACCCCACTACCATGATGACCCACAACACCCCACTACCATGGTGACCCACAACACCCCACTACCATGATGACCCACAACACCCCACTACCATGGAGACCCACAACACCCGACTATCATGATGACCCACAACACCACTACCATGGTGACCCACAACACCCCACTACCATGATGACCCACAACACCCCACTACCATGATGACCCACAACACCCCACTACCATGGAGACCCACAACACCCCACTACCATGATGACCCACAACCCCATGATGACCCACAACACCCCACTACCATGATGACCCACAACACCCCACTACCATGATGACCCACAACACCCCCCACTACATGATGACCCACAACACCCCACTACCATGATGACCCACAACACCCCACTACCATGATGACCCACAACACCCCACTACCATGATGACCCACAACACCACTACATGATGACCCACAACACCCCACCCATGGTGACCCACAACACCCCACTACCATGATGACCCACAACACCCCACTACCATGATGACCCACAACACCCCACTACCATGATGACCCCACTACCACCCACACCCCACTACCATGGTGACCCACAACACCCCACTACCATGATGACCCCAACACCCCAACCCACAACACACACTACCATGATGACCCACAACACCCCACCACCATGGTGACCCACAACACCCCACTACCATGATGACCCACAACACCCCACTACCATGATGACCCACAACACCCCACTACCATGATGACCCACAACACCCCACTACAGTACCATGGTGCAGAGACCCACAACACCCGACTATCATGATGACCCACAACACCCCACTACCATGATGACTACCATGATGACCCACAACACCCCACTACCATGATGACCCACAACACCCCCATGATGACCCGCAACACCCCACTACCATGATGACCCACAACACCCCACTACCATGATGATCCACAACACCCCACTACCATGATGACCCACAACCCCACTCACCATGGTGACCCACAACACCCCACACCATGATGACCCACAACACCCCACTACCATGGAGACCCACAACACCCACCATGCATGATGACCCACAACACCCCACTACCATGGATGACCCACAACACCCCACTACCATGATGACCCACAACACCGACTATCATATGACCCACAACACCCCACCATGATGACCCACAACACCCCACTACCATGATGACCCACAACACCCACCATGATGACCCACAACACCCACTACATGATGACCCCACAACACCCCACTACCATGATGACCCACAACACCCCACTACCATGATGACCCACAACACCCCCTACCATCATGATGACCCACAACACCCCACTACCATGGTGACCCACAACACCCACAACACCATGATGACCCCAACACCCACTACCATGATGACCCACAACACCCCACTACCATGATGACCCACAACACCCCACTACCATGATGACCCACAACACCCCACTACCATGGTGACCCACAACACCCCACTACCATGATGACCCACAACACCCCACTACCATGATGACCCACAACACCCCACTACCATGATGACCCACAACACCCCACTACCATGGAGACCCACAACACCCGACTATCATGATGACCCACAACACCCCACTACAGTACCATGATGACCCACAACACCCCACTACCATAAGGTTATAATAGAACCATAATAACCATGATAGGTCTTCCAGAATTTATTCATTCATGATGATTGAATACTGTAGCTTGTTTTGATCAAAGACTAAAATAGTTCAAATAAAAGATGACTCAGTATATAAGAGTACCATGATTGACTGGAGACATATAACACTTACATTTGTCTCCTCACATATACAGAATAAAGTTGATAGCTAATTACTCTGTTACCTGTATAAATTGTATTTATAAGTTCTCATCATACTTGGTATTTGATCCACCAATTGTGTGTGTAAAATCTGAGAAGGCCATGGTTGATGAAATAATAATAAACCTTTACCCCTTCGCATGCAAGGCAGATCTTTCGGAGAGCCATCTACAAGGAGAAAATAGTTGCCTACATTTCAGAATTTTTTAATATTGTTTTCGTTCAACACAGTATTTTTTTCCACAGGTAAGACGAGTGCTGGAAACACACCTGCGAATGTGTATATTGTACTGTACTATATAACATCCTGCATAGTTCAGACATTATTAAAGCGACGCAAATGGTTACAGACAATACTGGACCACCCCTTATTAAAAGTAGAATTGACCTAATTACATATTGCTGTTAAGTTTGGTAATCTATGGTGAAGGAAAAATTTGATTTTTGATATTTTGTGAGTACAGTATCAGATATGAGTTCAAGGCAAAATATACTGTGTGTTGGACTCTGCTGTCTTGACATCATCAGCCAAGTCTCCAAGTTTCCTGTGGAGGACACTGACCAGAGGTACGGGGCAGCCACTAAATATTTTGTCCTAGAGAAAGTCTCCTTGTTCAAGTTGACTATAGTTACCTATATAGTGTATACTGTAGAATATATGTAAATATATATTTTTTAATTTGGTTTGTAATCTGATATGCAATTTTACTGAAAAGAATCGTGTGAAGATTTTTTTTGCAAGTGAATTAAGGAACTATCTTTTGTTTAAGTTTTAAGCAAGAAATTGTTACTGTAACAAATAAAGAAGACAAATGCAAGGAGAATGTAAACTCTATGAAGCAGAAAAGGAAAAGGGGCTCTGTTCCTCAAAACAAAAATTAAGGACAAGCAAATTGTGCCTGAGAGCAATGAGTTTACTGAGGAAGCAATGACCAAGTGGTACAGTACTCACTTTCTGTTAAAACAGTGGTTCCCAAACTGGAGGCGTGAGGTGGGTACAGGGGAGGCGTGAAGCCATCTGCCAAAATTTGTTATTTTTTGCTCAAAAAGAATGTAATGAAGAAACTCTTTCAGGAGTAACGCTCTCTCCGTTTGAATCTTCCACACATCTGTGCAAAACCAAAGTACTGTATAGCATTCACCCCTATCCGTTTCCTATCATTTCATCTCTATCCTTTTCTTTGGTTCCTGTAGGAAAAAATGTTTATTGAAGTATATAATTAAAGTCTTTTATACTGGTATTATTTATGTTTGATTTGTTTTCATCCATGTTCACTATGCAAGGAGTTATCTTATCATCATCCATACCTGTCACAAGAGGGGTACAACAGGGCAGTGTATTGGGCCCGCTATTGTTTGTTTGTTTCATAAATGACATGCCTGACGTTGTACACCCCTCCATACAAATGTTTGCCGATGACGCCAAGTTATTTAGAGAAATCAAGAACCAAGCAGACTGTTAAGAGCTGCAGAAGGACCTCTGTGGGCTCCAAGAATGGTCGAAGAAATGGCTGCTGAGATTCAATGTCATGAAGTGTAAGAGGATGCACCTGGGGCAAACCAACAGTAAGGAGGAGTATCATATGTCCCAAAGGGATGAAGAACCTGCACTATTTGAGACTGAATGTGAGAAGGACCTAGGTGTGTATGTTGACAATGAGCTGCAATTCTCGGGCCATTGCGAGAAGAAGGTAAATCAGGCAAATAAATTATTGGGTCTTATTAGAAGGTCGTTCAGCTATCTAGACGGTCCATCCCTCGTAACGATCTTCAAGAGTGAAGTGCTTCCCCATCTGGAGTACCGTACTGTCACCCCGTGTGGTCCCCGAGATATGCTAGGGACTGTCAGTTGGTTGAAAATGTTCAAAGGAAGGCCACCAGACTGGTGCCTGCCCTTCGGCACCTCAGCTACCCTAAGAGATTGGAGCTCCTGAATTTGCCTAGCTTATACTACAGACGGGCAAGGGGTGACCTAATTGAGGTGTATAAGCATCTCAAGGGGCGCTACTCAGTCGAGTGTCCTTATTGGAGCTGGCGGATGCTTGCCCCACAAGGGGTCACAGCTCAAAATTGAAGAAGCCGCAAGTCCAGAAAACTGTGAGGGCAAACTTTTTCGGAGTGAGAGTTGTGAACTCTTGGAACAATCTACCAGAAAATGTTGTGACGGCACCGAGTGTGAGCTCTTTCAAGACCAGACTTGACCAACACTGGAGCGGGTTCAGGTACATTCAGGAGCCGGTGCATGCCCAGTACCTGCCAACAGTGCGTAACAGAGACGTGACCGATCGCCCAAGCGGCTAATGAGCCGATCTTTTTGTGAAGAGGATAAAGGTAAAGTAAAAAAAAATGAAAAATTCAATCTATGTAGATTTTGCATACAAAAATATAAAGGGGGGGGGGTTATTTTACCTACAAAAATATAAAGGGGGGGGGGGGCGTCATGTTAAAAAGTTTGGAAACCACTGTGTTAGAAAGTCCCTGTTATTATACCCAAGTCCACCCAGCTGTGAATTGATACAAAATTTTACTGTTTAGGAAGAGAAGGCAGACAAGTAAGGTACCAGTCACACTACCTTGTGTACCAAAGGCTTAATATTCAGTACAGTATACTGCATCCACACTGCTCCTTATAGGCCATCAGGCTTATGGCACCCACTTCCATATTGAAGAGGGATGCCATTTCACATTTGGGAAAGCTTTGGTTTTGCACTTGATGAGATGAGGTCAGTTCCATTGCCAGGCAAGATGGGAGAGGCACTACTGTATTGTCTTTGGTTTATCCAAAATTATTGACCATCAGGCCAAAGCTCTACTGTAGACTATGCTAGCTGTTGTCACCTAAGAGTTTGTGTGGGAAGATCTGTTTAGTCATGTCAGAGCTCTGGAGGAGGCATGCTAATGTCCTTTTTGGGTGGCAGTTGCTCACTGTTTTGGGAGATTGTGTAAAATTTGACAGCTTTATCCATGATAAAGTCTCAGTATTTGTATTTTTCATTCTCTTGTACATTACAACAACATATCACATTTATATCTAATGTGAAAGTCAGTTCACTGAATTAAGCTTTTATTTGACTGGAATTTCCAACCAAGAGGAAGATATATTTTTGGTAAGTAAAAAGTTAATTTTAAAGCATTAAATCAAGATCCTTTTGTAAGTAATAATAACAAAGTAAGTGAGTATTCTGAGAATAGGAAAATATATATTATTAACTTCCTACTCACTAAGACAGTCCATGAGACAAATCCAGATTGATACATAAATACATACAGACCTGAGCATTCATTCATGTATACAGTACACACCCGCATGTATGAATCTGCAGACATATAGACACACACAAACATACATGCCTACACAGCATCCATTGGTCTGTGGATATTCTTGTATGCACCCATCAAGTCTTAGGAGTTTTAACTCTGGCTGGCACAAATCAGACAACGTAAGAAGACTTTGGTCACCACCCTGTTCTTCAGAGAAGGTCTGGAAGGAGAAGGTCACCACTCAAGGCCGAGGGCTAAAGGAATAGTGGTGCTACAGCAACTTGTGCATCACAGCTCTTTCTTGTCCATCGTTAGTCATCTTGGATTGCCTGAAGTAAGCCTCAGTCTGACACTTGTGTCCGGTTAAGAAGTGGAGCTCTCTGATTTGAGTTGGGAGACAGATGGTGTGAGGTCCTCAGGCCCTTTTTGTTCTTGGGATTTGAGTCAGAAAGGCGAGACATATGCCTGGAGTCTTGTCAGTTTTTAAAATGTCTATTTTATTTATAAACATATTTATTTAGAGACAAACTTAAGGAACCTCCAGATCTAGGAGGGAATCTTGCTCATCCTCCTGCAGTGATTAATTTGAGTTAAAAATTACAGTATCTTTAAGAAGTAGATTGGCTTTTCTTGAGAATCATATATTACTGAACCATCAGGTGAGTTAAGAGTTACAGCTGGACACTTTATTGCATACATTGAAGATGAAACTTAAGAGTTTGCTGTTGTTTGGGTTCTTCATCAGTATGATTTTTTAAACCAAAACTTTAATTTGCATAACAATAATTGCTTTATCGTGATCTTTCACGTGTTTAGTCATTGTCTGTACAAATAGATCAGATCTGTGCAGTCTATATGCCTTTATCCTAGTTATTCATGGCACTGGCACAGAAACATTTGAATCATGTGATAGAATTTAGTCATTAAAAAAAATCTGGTATGAATTCCTTCATCCTAACCTTGATGATATGAGTGATGTGTTAAGCAAGGACCAGTTGAAAAGAACAACCGAGGAGAAAAGAACGAAAACAATAATAAATCCAGTTTTCTTGGCTGTAGTCCCACATGTACATTTTTTTTTTAAGATGAGTTCTGAGAGAAATTAATTGGTCTTTAAATAAAGTAATGGTCAGAGGTGCCAAGAAGAATGGAAAATTTGAGAGTGTAAGGATTGAAATGATTTCTTAAAATGAGATCAAGCAGCAGGTGTCCACTATATCAAGCAAATGAGGGACCTGTGAGGGAGTACTTTACTTTATCCTCTTCACCACTGATCGTCTTGTTAGCTGCTTGGGTGGTCGATCATGTCTCTGTTACTTACTGTTGGCATGTACTGGCTTCTGATTGTATAAAATGTTGTAGAACCATGACCCTTTTGGCACTCAATCTTGAGTGGTGACCCTCTCTGAGGGATAGGATTGTGACAGGATAGTTGAAGTCGCCCACAAAACTCCTGTCTCCTCTCCTCCTGAACCATGAAACCCAAGATTCAGACCTGTGAATCTGAAGCATTTATGGACAGAAAAATGCATCAGTGCCTACTGCTTTGGGTTCACAAGTCTGAATCTCTGGGTTCAGGAGGAGAGGTGACAGGACTTTTGTAGGTGAGTGTATACCAATTGTCTGAGGGTTAGCCAGAGTACATACTGTATATAAGTCTCCATGTCTTGATTTGGTCATAAAGTGGAATTTCCATGATCAGACCTTGATGTCTACACACTGACTGATTAAACGATATAAATACAGTAGTTGTGATTTGAAGAAGAAAACCTGTTTCACTTAATTTGTATCAATAATGCATGTCCTTATCTTTTTTATTAAATATTTCTAATAATATACACTATGTAAATTAACAAAAAATATCTTAATTAATAATATTAACCTCATTGATAAATTTTACTCATGTCTTAATCTTCATGTAATAACCATCATTTATGAGTGCACTTCAGTAAAAGAAATTCTTACCCCGTTACTTTTGTCTTGAGCTGAGACTTGTACAGTACAGTAATAAGATGCTCTACAGTCCAGTGTTTGTTTTTTATTGAAATTATGGAAATTCCTGTTACTAGAGGTCTTTTGAACCCTTTTTTTTTATTGCTTAATTGGACAACTTTAATAGATGCCTGGATCAGCGATGGCAGCGAGGTGGCAATGCTGCTAACAATAGTACTGTCCTGGGGCTCCTCGGGGCTAAGCCAGCCTTTTTTGGCACCATTGCTGACTCCCACGAAAAGAGGTACAGTAAAATGTTAAGAGTGCCAACACTGAAGTTGTGACAATTGTAGTTAGTCATGCCTTACAATATAGGCTTATATCATTAACACACCTAGTGGGGGTAAATGTCAAGAGAGTGTCCGATGGGTTTTAACACCATACAGGCCACACTGTACCTTATGTGTATGATCAAGCAACTTGGTCTTATTGATAAGAAATTTGAGGTACAGCTGCTGTATATACAGATACATATGAAATATAATTTAAATTACAATATATGGGCATGTCTAGGATTGTTTCCTCACGGTCATGCATCAGCTGAAGTGTGTCTGCACTTCTACTTTACAAGGTTCATTAACTGGCCAACTGCCATTACCACCATTTACTGTTAGTATTTGTATACCACCAATGGGTCAATACTGTACTGTATGTCATTTTACTGTAGTTTACAGGTAATTTAATTTTCTTGATATACAGTACAGTATTTTATGTACAGTGCAACACAGAACGTCTACGACTTACGAATGCTCACCGATACGAACAAAGTTAAACTTTGAAATTTACAGTATACGAGTATTTTATTTACGTGATGACTTATTTTATACTTTCATTTACTGTGTTTTGTCATTCTATTTCTTATTTTGTTTTAAATTAAGTGATTTTAGATGTATATAGGGACTTGGGCTATGATATACAGTAGTGGGATTTTAAACATTGTAATTTAAGTACGGTATGCACATAGCATGTGTTCCGACTTACGTACAAATCCGACTTAAGAACGTCCTCAGGAATGAAATCCATTCATAACCTGGGGAACCCCCTGTATTGTATTTTGTGTACTGTAGTGAAATATTGGAAGTTGGCAAGATTTATAAATTCTTGACCAGTACTTTAGTTCCAGACACATGCAGAAGAATTTTTATGATTGAATTTTTCTTCCATATCTTTAAAACTTGTTCCATACCTTTTGGATTCTGTTAATGTAAATTTCTGTCATATAATCTTCCATAGCTTGAAGGATGCTTGTTCAGAATGGTGGGTAATCCTTGATTACCTCAAGGAGTGACAACCCAGCCTTGCCAGCTAAGAGGGTGTTTGGAAGTCCTACATATAGACCCAGTAATGCCCAGTTCCCACTCGGTAACTGTGAGTTAACAATAGGAACGACATTCAGCCATTAAACTTGTTTCTAATTTGCTTGAAGACAACTAGAACACTGTGTCATCAATTGATCATGGCAAACCCTTGCCAGTGTGGAAAATGATAGCTGTAAAACAGTGATGATGATAGAAAAACCCGACAAGTAATTTGGCCCACACATTTTTGCTTCTCATCGGAGGTCACTTGACATTTACATCCAGTAGGTGACTGGCAGCTGATCAGCATATATATATATATATATATATATATATATATATATATATATATATATATATATATATATATATATATATATATATATATATATATATATATATATATATATATATATATATATATATATATATATATATATATATATATATATATATATATATATATATATATATATATATATATATATATATATATATATATATATACAGTAATATCTCCGTTAGCCGAACTCTCGCATAGCCAGAATTGAAATTTGCTCGGAAAATCATTCCCAAAGCTGTAATTTTCATGAAAATTCTGGCTTTGAGAACAAATTCTGAGGTTGAAAATCAAGAGCATTTTCTGAAAATGTCTTGAATAAAGACGAAAGCTAAAGTAATTTTGGGGGAGACCTAACCTGACCTAACTCAATGTCAGGTGAAGGTAGGGTGGGGGATTAGTGGTCTCATATTACTGACCTGATGGAATGGACCTGATGGAATGTCAGGTCACCCTTTTTTGTGTGGGGGATTAATAGCACTGATCGGCGACCCCCGAAAGTTGCTATAAATAGAATCCGGCCGTACGCATGTGTGTGTTGTCAGCTGCAAAGTAGGACAAACATTCTGGTTCACTGCACCAGTTTGATTGATAAAGCACAACCACCACACCGTAACAAAGGACGTCTGGGAACGTCCAGTGATACCATTGATGGCATGGTGTTATAGACACAGATGCACAGATGTTCAAATTTCTAAATATACCACTGTATGAAACATTCCCAGCCCTGCATGACATGTTGTATTGTATCAATAACCAGCCATATTGACATGCAATTTATAAATCAACAACGAAAACAGCAAGATATATTGTACTAATTTGTAGCCATTTTCATTGCACAGTTTTCCTTACCTTTGCACTAATGCTGGCTTATTTCCTGCAACCGGCAAGCCTCTACATCCCAGCCATCTCTTCAGCTGACAAACAGTGTTGTGTAATATCACTGTGGATAAATCGTGCCCCAGGTACATCATTTTCAGTGAGTTTATTATGACAAAATTAGCGTGTACTGGCCATTGCTTGTGCCAGCAGTGGCAATAGGACATGAATGATTGTCCTACCCGCGCGGTGATGCGTACACAACCCCGAAACTGATGAAGTCTCCGCCAATCAGTGCTATGGGCTTAATGACTTGAAGATGTCTTGAATAAAGACAAAACTAAAGTATTTGGGGGAGAGATTGTGATAAGTATAACTATAAATGAGCAAAATTGTATCCCTTCAACATTACATTACATAGCATTTTAAAAATGGAGTGAGAAAACTGAAGGTGTGGGTAATTAGAGAGATGGAGCTGTAACATGCACCGGTGTTACCAAGCGCTCCTCAACAGCTGATGTTTATCTTGCCTCCAGGCAGTCACACAACAAGACCCTCACTGGATGCTTGTTGTCTTAATTCCTGTGTGTGTGAGAGGAACACACCTCAACATCATATGCACACACCCCCAACACCACCAACTCACGCCCTCCAACATCACCAACACACGCCCTCCACCAACACACGCCCTCCACCAACACACGCCCTCCAACACCACCAACACACGCCCTCCAACACCACCAACACACACCCTCCAACACTACCAACACACACCCTCCAACACTACCAACATGCACATGGGTGTGTTGGTGCTGTTAAGGTGCGGTCCGACTAATTACCCAAATATAGCCAAATGTAGCCGCAATGAAGTCAAATGATGGTCCCACAAGCGTAAATCGGGCTGTGAATCACTTCTCGATTATTATTTGGTGTCATAAAGTCACAAAAAATTGGTAAACTTAATTTAATCTGAGTTGTGTTAGGTTAGGTTAGGTACATGCACTTGATCTATTAACTCAGATTAAATTAAGTTTACCAATTTTTTGTGACTTCGTGACACCAAATACCAGTCGAGAAGTGATTGGCAGTCCGATTTATTCATGTGGGACCATTATTTGACTTCATTGCGGCTACATTTTGCTACATTTGGGTAATTAGTCGGACCCGTTAAGGTGTATGGGTGCTGTTGAGGTGTATGGGTGGTGTTGGGTGTGTGTGGGTGGCGTTGGGATGTGTGGTTGATGTTTGGGGGTGATGTTGAGGGTGTGGGGGTGGGTGGTGTTGGGAGGTGTGTATGTGATGTACAAAAACAAAAAAATGGAATTGAGACAACAAGCTTCCAGGGTGAGGGTCTTGTTGTGTGACTGCATGGTGGCAAGTGAAAGATAAGCTGTTGAGAATCACTCCATTCCACTCCATCTCTCTAATTACTCACACCTTTCTGCTTTCTCACTCCATATTTTAGAATCTTATCGAACATAATGTTGAAGGGATACAACTTTTTTTCATTTATACTTCACAATGTCTCTCAAAAATACTTTAGCTTTCGTGTTTACTCAAGAGATCTTCAGGTCATGAGACCTACTAATCCCCCCACCCAACAAAGGGTGACCTGACATTCCATCAGAAGGTCAGTAAAATGAGACTACCTAATCCCCCCTATCTCCACCTGACATTGCATCAGGTCAGGTCAGTTACATAAGACCCACTAAACCCCTACAGCTCCATGGAAGTGGAAAATACCAGTCTTTGCTGTAACTCACAGCTTCATTCATGCTCGTATCATATAGATTTTTTTTATTTTAAATCTATTTATTTAACCAAACTTTTAGATAAACTATTATAGATTATTATAGTAAAGAAATGGAGTTTCTAATTTAAATAGAACTGCATTTACAGATTCTGGTAGTTTAGACTCGAGGAAACATTCCTTACCACCCAGAAGCGTTCTGGAGAAGTGGGCTTAGTTTATGTCTGTAAGATGTGTAGCTTAGACACTCGGAAACTTTTCCCAGTAACCTGAATATATTCCGGGGATCAGGAATTTTTCCGGGTTTGTGAAAGTTGTCTGGTTACCTGGAAATCTCTCATACCCAGAAGTGCTCTGCACCAATTGTTCCAGCTAACACGGATATCACTGTACTGTATTCAGTATACACTGAATTATGTATATTGCTGGTTGCTGCTATGTTTAAGTAAGTCATTGGACTTAAAACAGAGTAATTATAATAATGAGCAGAAGTCATGGGGTATAAAATTTTAACTAATTAATAGTTCTAATGCCAGTTCCTGCTTTGCGTCAGATGGCCCACATTAAATCCCCAAACCTTTAAGTTGTCTTCTCTCTGTACCTGTCACCTGTGCCTATAGTGTACCACAGACACCATATTGCTTGCTTTTTATACTTACAAACTTTGGTTTACCTCACAGATAGCCAATTAGAAATCATTAGATGTCATCCTCTTTGTTTTCTGAGTATAAGTATAATAGTTTTATATAATTGTTTTCACTAAATTTAAAGAGACCAAAGTACAGTGATTCCTCGGTTAATGAACGGTTCGATTAACGAAATTTCGGTTAACGAATTACCTACCATAAGGATCTTCAATTCGGTTAACGAACAAAACCTTGATTAACAAAATCCTTACGAACAACACGTTTTGTTGTGAGCATCAGCTGATCAGCTGATGGGCTAGTCTGCCAATTCAGTACAGGGTAATCTGTTCTATGTTTACATTCGTTTCCAGTGGAGTAAATATAAAAAAAGTTGTGCTCTTTGATATTTTTGCATTTTTTATATTAAAATTATTAGTCATTTTAAAATTTAATTAACATATTGATAATATATGCAGTACAGGGAACTAGTTTTTTTGTGCGCCCATCAGCTGCTTGACTCAGCCACCAGGCGTCAGTTTGGCTTTGTTGACAGTGGAGTGAACATCTATTTTGTTGGCGTCTTGAATATTTTTTCATTTTTACATTAAAATTATTGGTCATTCTGAAATTCAGTGAACATATTGATAATATATAGTGCAGTGCAGTGTTGATTTAAATAAAATAATCTTGAATTACACCTAGTGAACTTAAAATTTTATTGGTGAAATGACTGCATCAAACATGGGTCCCCTGAGAGGTGATTTCTCCTCCATCCCCACTTCCTTCTCTTCTCCCTTCTCCCCCGCTTCTAATTCCCATCATCATCATCAACCAGGAACCTTCTACATACACACCTCAAAGTAAGTGTACTTTAATGCATTTTTTTTTTTAACTTTGTATGTACTTTTCGGTGAGCTGGTACCAATTACCCAATATCCCATTGAAACAATGGATTCGGTTAACAAAATTTTTGGTTAACGAACTACCCTCTGGAACGAATTGCGTTCGTTAACCGAGGGACCACTGTACAGTAGTGAAGCAGATTACAGCTCGAATTAGATATGCTGTAAAGAGACAGATAATGTACACTGATTATGCTGTATTTTTTGTTGTTGAACTTCTTTACCATATCTTATGGCTAAATCTAGTGATTCTTTTTTTTTTCATGTGGAAATCCTCTGCTAGTACATTGGAGATTGGCTGGAATCAAGAGTAACTTCTGACCCACTCTTCATTTACTATTATTTATTTCCTCTTTCTGTACCATCCTTATGTATAACGTTGCTTCCTCCAGGTCCATTCCCCCCTGTTCTTGTTTCTTCTTTCACTGTACCCTTTTTCTTCACATTTCCACACTACCACCCACCTCTGAATTGTAAACTCTTTACCAGCCTGCCACTTCACATCTTCTTAATATATCCATAGTCAGCTGTCTTTCTCATTCTTTCATTTTCACATCTCATAATTGTTTTATTTACTGTACTGTACATGTATTATTTTCTTCATCCTACTCATCACATGGAGCTGTCAAGCACTTAACCCCTGTGGCCTGTAATAGGGTTCCACTTGCTGTATTCTGTCCATACTTCACACATCACACCTCTATAGTAATCTTGACCTAACAATACTTCCCCTTATGTAATATCCTTCTTCCAGACGCTATCAATTCACCTTTAACTTAATCATTATTGTGTTTTAGACTCACATTATGATGCTGTTTAGTGTTATAGCTTGCAAACTTTTCAACACCTGATGGAGATTTTCTTTCAGTCCAATTGTGAAAAATTTACTTGTTTTTAGTTATGGCCTGAAGCCCTCCACTAAGTGGCTCACATTTTATGCTAACCAAGTCTGTGAACTCAACATCCAGGAGACCCTTTTACGTGAGTGGTCAGGACTAATTCTTGTCTTAATTACCGGTATACCTCCCCTCTTAATCCCAAAAGGATCTTTAGAAGTGAGATTCACCATTTAAAGTAAAAGGTAACAAGTCTTGATGGCATGCTAGTGTGAGGACATCTTACCTGTTAGGCTAGGTCAGACTTATAGGAATTCTAGGAGTCAATCCCTTAAGTTCCAACTATAACTCCATCAAAACTGTTTGGAGGGCTCACTGGCAGCTGTCTCCTACAACCCAGGCACAATATGATGCTAACAGCACAGTTGGAGTCTAAGGCTGATTTAAACAATGTGTTAGTTACGCTTTGTAGGGCTTTTGTCTTTGTATAAGTATGATGTTGCAGGGGTTGTATAACTTTTCTTACAAAAAGAATAATTCAGTGTGGGTCCATTCGGTATACTGATTCAGGGAGCTTATATCACTCATGCCATGTCAAGTTGTCCAATTTTTAAGTGAATATCAATCTGTATTTATGACATTTTTCATGCAGTGTCTTTCACAGGTTTAGGATTTATAGAAAGAATTCCCTGGCATGATCAGAAATTGAATTACAGAAAATACTCTTCCTAAAGTGGTTTAGGAGGTACAGTACAGTATACTGATTACCTCCACAGCATCATTCAGACCTGAGCATGGTATCTTCTTTTGGGGAATTATTGTGCGCTCCCTTATGTTCTACTGTAAGACACAGGGAAACATTCTGGGGTCCGTTTAGGTAGTTGGTTCAGGTTGGGTTGTTTCAGTGAGAGTAGTTGGAGTCAGGTGGTTGCCATTGGTTCCCTCATGAGACTCTGTCTAAGCAAAGCTTAGCTAAGGATCTTGCTAAGTGACCGTACCTTTCCATCTTTTCCAACTCTCCTAATAAGGCCCTGAGATCCTTGTTTATACTGGAGCTGAGCCTAAAAATAATGATTCCTCCTTTCTTCCTTCATATGGTTACATGTACCGGGAAAGTCACTTGGAACTGAAAAGATTGATACCTGGAATTTCAATTTGGCAACCAAGGCTGACAGACAGGTGTGCATATGCTAGTGTCATGACATGATTCTTTGCCTTCTACTTTAAGTGGTGATTTACTTCTAAAGATCCCTTTATGGATTTGCTTGTGATGGAAAAGTACAGGTTAGTCCCACCTACAAATATTGAAGGGTCAGTGGCTGCATGAATACAGGTTTCACCTTCAATCAGAAGGATTTGATCTTGGAGCACTCCCAATCCAACCAGCTATATATTTATATCAAACTTTCAAGTCTGGGATGTTAAAAGAGTCAAGTGCAATGCCAGCTACAGTGCCTCCATGCATAACAGAGGTTTGGTACACTACAGTATGCTGTATTTACACTGTCCTTAATGGACAGTCATGCTAATAGGAGGAACTCTGACCATTGTTGAAGTGCCTTCAGTGTCCTCAGCCCTTAAACTTAGTGAGCTCACTATGCGAGCCATTAAATTCGGAGCTCGGCCATCAGATTGGATTCCAGGATCGGTTTTTCATTTTGTTTTATATGAATTTTATAACAAATTATTTGCTGTATTCCTTAACCATAACCATTGAAACTTTTACCAGATTCCTCCTTGAAGACTTTGCCAAGTTTGATGTAAACACAGATTATGCCGTCGTACATGAAGGTTGTGACTGTCCGGCATCTTGTGTTATTTTGAGTGTAGCCACCGGGTCACGTACCATTATACATGCCAACAAGAATCTGCCGGAAGTGTCTGTGGAAGATTTTGATAAGATTGACTTGGCAGCATTCAAATGGATTCATTTTGAGGTAAAGTTTAGGAAGTTCTTTTAGTTTTATATTTATTTCATGTTTCATGTCTGTAGGTAATGCAAAAAAATTCTTCAAGTTGTAAATTTATTTTACAAGTTTTATGAAGATAAAATGTGTATTAATCAGTTTATACTATTGTGAGATAATATTAGATATAAATTTAGTGAATGTTGATGACCATTTGCATATTTATGATTGACACAGCTTGCATATATGGTAGTACTGCTCTACCCAGGAGGCTAAGTAAGTTCTCTTGGTGCCAAGTTTTGTGGTTATTTCTCATAAATGTTCAGCAAATGAATGATAAACACATTTTATTTCTTATTATATCTAGTTGCTGTCTTTTTCTCTCATGCAGTATACTGTACTGTATATTCCATGTCTCACTGTCAGCTCCTTTTACTGTATACCGCCATGTTTAATTAGGCAAAATTATCCTTTGAATGAACATTAGCGTACCTGACAAAAATAACTTTTTGGGTTGGAGGGTGCTGAAATGCAGATACAGTATGGTGAAATCTTACCAATTTGACTTTTGGATAATTAGAACAATATTAGGTCTAATGATCAGGTAGTAACTGGGTGTGCAGAACTAAGTGAAAGGCATGATGTACTATCATGCAAAGTGTGACTCCGAATCACATGAGGTTGACTCAACAAAGCAGTTGAAGGAAGTTACTTCACCTTGATGACTCAACGAGGTACTTCCTTCAGCTGCTTGTTTGATTCGGACTCTTAGTTGTTGGAAGGTACTTTTGTGCATGATAGTACACTCAGACCCTGATTTACGAAATGGTTACGCTCCTAAAAACTTTTCATAAATCAATCTTTCATAAATTGAAGCACATGTTCCCAGAGTCTCATGTTTTAAAGCTGAGTTGTATTCCTAAGAAAATTCTTCCCCAAAACTCTTAAAATGCCATAAAACATGTTTTTAATGAAGATTTTTGGTGTACACAATGATTATAAGACAAAGTTAAACATTGTAAGGGAAATACATGCAGTACAGTACAGTAGAAGTCCCAAAACCTGGACTGCTTGGGGATTGGGTTGGTCCAGATTTTCGGATTTTCCGGATTCTCAGGCAGTACTTTTAAAATTCAAATTTAAGGAGGAATAAAGAAGAGATGAACAGGTACATTTTGATAGTTTATTCATTAGCAAATATAGCATGCTTCATTTATCAAAACGAGCAGTTTTAAGGAAAAAGCTGTGAATTCTAGAATTTTATTCTTTGCCTCTTTTATATCATAAATTGTAGACTTTCCAATGTCATATGTTTCCATTAGAACAGTATTGCTCACACCATGTTCTAGTTTCTTAATTATTTCAAGTTTGTCACTCAATTTCAACGTGTTCTTCTTTCTCTTCACACAACGAAGTTTATCTACTTTAGGAGCCATTATTATGGGCTTAGTACAGTACTCTGTAAATGAAAAGAGTAGGACTCAAATTTACATACGTTGTTACAGTTTGATTGCTCATTTTAAAGTGGCAACCGCGTGGTCGCTTGTTGTCGCTGTGCAGCTGTGGCACTCACGCATGCGCACATGCACACAAAAGCCCGCTTAAAAAAAAAAAAATTGAATTTCCTAAAAGTCCGGATTCTCGGGTGGTCCGGATTTCTGGCATCCGGATTTTTGGACTTTTACTGTACAATAATAATTTTATACCTGTACTTAAAGAGAAATTGGATGAGATTTGAAACAATGTGAACAATATAAAACACAAAACCAACATCAATAATAAGTATACAGGGTGTATTATATAATACAGGTTGACAATCCCTTATCCGAAATCCTTGGGACCAGAGGCATTTCGAATTTCGGAATTTTTCGGTTTTCAGAATGGTTAGGGTTTTTTTTTTTTTTTTTGGTATGTGTGTGTATTAGCCCATCCGGGCACAAGTCACTGACCCACATTGGCGCCTGGGGGGGCGAAAACATAATAATAATTATAGTAATAATAATAATAATAATAATAATAATAATAATAATAATACAGGTAATAATAATAATTCATAGGTCTAGGTCGTGTTACTCACTTTTTATCTTTTTTTCGTTCTTGTATTTCTTTATTATTATTATTATTATTATTTTATTAATAAAGTATTATTGTTATCATTATTATTTTATTTTGGTGTAATTTTTAATTAAAATTTTTATTTACTATGAATAATTACCGGTACATGTATTATTATTATAATTATTATTATTATTATAATTAGTATTACTATTACATTTTCGCCCCCCAGGCCCCGATGTGGGTCAGTGATCTATGCCTGGGTGAGCTAATCCCTGTAACAAAAAAAACAAAAACAAAAAATTGCTCCACAAAAATCTTTCGGTTTTCAGAGCTTTTCGGTTTTCGGAATTTCGGATAATGGGTTGTCAACCTGTACAGTACAGCACTGACTCCCATAATGTCATTGGCAATAGCTATACTGTAATATCTCTGTTAGCCGAACTCCCTGAAACCCAGAAATCTCCGATAGCTGGAATTGAAATTTGCTCTGAAAATCGTTCTCAAAGCCGGAATTTTCAAAAATTTCCGGCTTTAGGAACAAATTTTCTGATGTTGAAAATCGAGAGAATTTTCTGAAAAAGTCTTGAATAAAGATGAAAGTTAAGATATATATATATATATATATATATATATATATATATATATATATATATATATATATATATATATATATATATATATATATATATATATATATATATATATATATATATATATATATATATATATATATATATATATATATATATATATATATATATATATATATATATATATATATATATATATATATATATATATATATATATATATATATATATATATAGTTCTGCTATAACGATAATTGTGTTCTTGTAAAATATCGTGTTATAGAAAATCGCGTAATAGAAATAACAGGGCTTATGGAGAATATAGGGTTAGGTGCAGATTACTCGAAATCGAAAAAATTTAGTAGTTAGCCTAACACAAAGAATAGCACAGTCTAAATAAATGTTACATTCATATCTAATAATGAAATCATACAGTAAATGTAACACTTTACTTGATGGGGGAGAAGGGTGATTTTGAGGTTGATAAAATCGAGCTTCTCTTCAAGTGTTATATCCTTTCTTTTACGATCATCACCGGGAATTCTATCACCAGAACGCTTCTTGTTGATATTCTTCTTTACTATATTCACAGTTAATACAGTGGGGTATGCTATAACGAACGGATCCTACTACGAATATTCCTATAACGAACGGTTTTACCTATAAAATTGAGAATGCTATAACGAACGAAACTCCTACAACGAACATTATTTAATTTTTTTTTTTCTAATTTATTGTTTTTTTATTACAAATATTAATGATATTCTTTATTTCAGGGGTTTAGATGCATATTTATGCACTTTTTTACAATTTTTACAATTTTATATTATATTTTTCAGTGTTAAGTGGTTGTATTTGGGGGCCTGGAACGGATTAATCCTATAACGAACGAATGCTATAACGAACAAGGTTCTAGAACCAATTAGATTCGTTATAGCATACCCCACTGTACCACAAAATTGGAGAAATAGTAAGCAAAAATCGCGTTATAGCAAACAAGCGTTCGCGTTATACAAATATCGTTCCTAATTCATAAATCGCGTTAGAGCAAATTCGCGTTAACAAAACACGCGTTATAGCAGAACTCACTGTATATATATATATATTTTTTTTTTTTTGGGACCTGACCTGACTCAATGTCAGGTGGAGGTAGGGTGGGAATTAGTTATATCATATTACTGACCTTCTGGTGGAATGTCAGGTCACCCTTTCTTGGGTGCAGAATTAGTGGGTCTCATGACCTGAAGATGTCTTGAATAAACACGAAAGCTAAAGTATTTTTAGGGGGATTGTGATAAGTATAAGTATAAATGAGGAAAGTTGTTTCCCTTCAACATTATGTTACATATTTTAAAATATGGAGTGATAAAGCAGAAACATGTGGCTGATTAGAGAGATGGAGTGGAAAGGAGTGATAACATGCACCAGTGTTGCCAAGGGATAAGCTCCTCAACAGCTGATCTTTAATTCTCCTCCATGCAGTCACACAACAAGACCCTCACTGGATACTTGTTGTCTTAATTCCCATGTGTATGTGTGTGCGTGCGTGGGTGTGGTTTAGTACTGCAATTAATGTGTGTGTGCTGTGTAACTGTCTTGGCATGTCACCTCACCACCTGACTCCTCAACAAACTCTTCATCAACTTCTTCATATCCTACAATGTGCTTGGCAAGCTCAACACACACACACACACACACACTACTGCTACTTTGCTGTCACTCGGAATCGAGTATGATGATCATCCAGCTATGATACAATGATACGAGTTATTAAGTTAGTCACCTAGGTTGGTGAGTTTTGTGGTGACTAAAGAGGCCGATACGGGACCCGCAGGGTTGTTCACATTCGTTGCACATGTGGAGGGCTACATCGAGTGCGGGAGGGGTGGTGGCAGCGTCTTTCCGGTTTTTCTGCTTGTCTGCCTCAGTTTGCAGTCGGGCTTAGTATTGACACCTTCTTGTGTGGTGCTCTTCCAAGCATTACAATGTGTAGTAATCGACTCCCAGGTGAGGGGGTCAATTTGGCAATTTTTCAGGTTTGTCTTAAGACTATCCTTATACCTTTTCAGTTGCCCGCCGGCGTTACGTTTACTATTCGTTGGGTGACTGTAATGTAGCTGCTTTGGCAGTCTACTGTCGTCCATGCGGGTAACATGGCCAGTCCAGTGTAGTTGTTCATGTATAATGGTAGCCTCGATGCTCTTGCAGTTGGTGTCAGCAAGGATGCTGGCATTTGTTCTCTTGTCTTCCCAGCAAACTCGGAGGATGGAACGTAGACTACTTTGGTGAAAGTTTTCAAGTGCCTTGAGGTGCCTCCTGTATGTAACCCATGTCTCGCTGCCATACAGCAGGGTGGGGAGGACCACTGCTCGATATACGTGT